AAATCGAGCACCAGATTTGACGAAATCGAGCACCAGATTTGACGAATACGAGCACCAGATTTGACGAATTCGAGCACCAGATTTGACGAATTTGAGCACCAGATTCGACGAATTTGAGCACCAGATTCGACGAATTCGAGCACCAGATTTGACGAATTCGAGCACCAGCCAGTAAGTGATTCTTGAGTTTGAGTTGGATTGTGTCTCCGCCCTGGGCAGAATTTCCAGAAAATCAGCAGGTTTTGCGAAATCGAGCACCAGATTTGAAGAATTCTAGCACCAGATTTGACGAAATCGAGCACCAGATTTGGCGAAATCGAGCACCGGATTTGACGAATTCTAGCACCAGATTTGACGAAATCGAGAATCAGAGCCACCAGCCCAGGGACCAGCCCCACATTTCAAAATGAAAGCAGAGCCACCAGCCCAGGCCAGCCAGGGACCAGCCCCACATTTCCAAATGAAAGCAGGGCCACCAGCCCAAACCAGCCAGGGACCAACCCCACATTTCAAAATGAAAGCAGAGCCACTAGCCCAGGCCAGCCGGGACCAGCCCCACATTTCAAAATGAAAGCAGGAGAGAATTTGCAGTGCATGGGAGATTTGATTGGACCCAGACCATTTTTTTTCAATTTTCCTGGTGCTGCTTTTGTGCTCATCGATTGTGCTCACTGTTAGTGGGACTCAGCCACTTCGAATCTATGGGAAAAAAAGCATAGTATATCATACCCCCCAGCCACCCTCCCCAAACCACCAGCAGCTGTAGCATGAAAGCCAGCTTTCCCCGCCTTCATCTTCTTCTCTCGGGCCACCTCCAGCATATCCTCCAATTCCTAAGTCAAAACGTGCAACAACCACCTGTCTGGAGGCTAAATCCTGCGGCTCCCTGCTGGCTGCATCATCTGCGACAAAATGAGGACACCATCCCAAAGCACTAGCTAAGCTGGCTATCCATATGTTCAAAAGAAGGACATCTATACGTAGACACTCCAAGGCTTGCTGCTTAGAGCAGCACACAGGGTAGTTCATGGTACCTTAACGGTACCTATGTTGAGAGAACATACCCTGCACCAGCGATGGATATTAGCTCATAGACTGTGACAGGGGCCGTTCATCGGTCAAATCCGGTCAAATCAAAATGATTGGATATCTTCCCTGTGAGATTCCTCAGAGAAAGGAGTAGCCAATGGGAATAAAGAACAAAACAATAACAAACAATCACGGCAACTATTAAGTGGACCGTTCTTCATCTCAAATGTTATGGAATCTCCTCCTTCAACAGATTCTTTTGCAGCGTCCTTGCCACCAACTTGCCACCTCCCAAAACCATTAGGCTCCAAACAACCAACAGAGGTTAGGTGACCTTATAGTAGGGGTAGCTATGGGATAGTCGACCTAGATGTCTATAGGGTTCTGTACAACTTCGCAAGCACCGGTCCCTTGCCCACCTCCCCCGCTGCCAAGTGGCCCAGGAGCCGGCGGCACTCTTCGTCAAGTCCAAGCGCCAGTCGAACTCGGCGTAGCTCACCTCGGTGACGCGCAACGCCCCACAAACATCATCCTAGGCTTCCAGTTATACCTTTGTTTCGAGTCGATGGGACTGGGGTGGGTGCCAGGAGGGTCCAGTCATACCGAACCTGAGGAGGAACAATATATGATACCCTAGGCTTCCAACAACCATTGTTTTAAATGGTCTTGACCGAAGCACCATTGTTACACTACACAACCCAGGTCAACCGAACTCTTTGAAGGGTCGAACGGAAGCCGAACGGGATCATGAAGTAGCAACCCCCCCCTAGCAGACTCAGTCCCAGTCACTGAACCTGTCCAGTCTCAGTCCCAGTCACTGAACCTGTCCAGTCTCAGTCCCAGTCACTGAACCTGTCCAGTCTCAGTCCCAGTCACTGAACCTGTCAAGTCTCCTGTTCCTGAACCAATCCTACTCGAGTAGTGTGGACCGGGTCAAGTTCCCAGTACCCAGTGAGCTCTGACCGTTTCATCGAAACATGACACCCGATTTCGGGGTCGATGCGGAAGTCTCCCATGTTTTACCGATCATTTACCGAAAGGAGAGGTGGCTGGTGGAGGTGGCTGTTACTGGGCATGCGAGCAAAGAACGCATGATCAGCCCTGCAAATTCCAGGGTTGGGCCGATTTGAGGTGAAATGACATGCATTGCTGCATAATATATAGGTTCCATGTCAGTGTGCGATCCATGGAGGAAGTCAGATCTGTCCCTGTCACATCGGAGGAAGTCCCTGTCCGACTACATGCGACTCCCAGGCTTCCAAAACGCAGCCCGCACCGATTCAGCGGCCAACCCACGTCCCAACCAGGTCACGTTGACATGCGCGAATCCCACCTCCGTCCTGCTCGTGGTACGGCGGTGGACTGACGGCGCTTTGCTTTGTATGGGTGGGTTTTGGTGCGCATCATCCATGCGCAAAGCGCCGGTCAAAGAACAAACGATTGGATTTGGCTTGCTGTGTATCCCTGGTGCCGGACTATCATGGTTAGACCCTTTGAGCCTGTGTATGCATGCCTCTTCTGAACCGAGAGCTTTTATGGACTCAGTATGTGCGAAAGGTTTGGGAAGTATTCTGTGGAAAGCAAGTTTTTTTCAGCATTAAGTGAAGTTGGGGAGGGGAATCTGCTGGTGAGTGGATGTGAGTGGTATGAAACCCATTGTGCTGCAGAAAAACAAACAACTTGGTGAAGTATGGAGAAGTAGCACAAATGACGGTAGGTGTCTCACAAATTCGGCATGTATGACTGGTCTCTAACTTAAGTATCAGGCGGTCCATCTACTGCGCTGGTATTCCCTATGATCCGCAATGTTTTATATATGTTTGGCCAAAGGCTACATCAGGAATGCATGAAGACACGTGGTGTTCACGACAGGGCCTCCCAGTGGAGGCGACAGAAGTTGCAAAGAATGGTGTGGGACGCCAATCATCTTGAATGGTCCGTGAAATTCAGGCTGGAGCCACTACTTTGCTGGTGGAGATCAACATGTCAACAACCGTCCTTGGATGGACCCCCCCACAAAAGGAGTAACATTGACCACACATCATTGTATCATTTATACACCTCCGCCCTTTAGTTTTGCCAAAATACGTTCAACACTAAGATGTTTGGATAGGTTCAGCCCCGTGTGTATCATGCATCCGTTCGCGAAGTATGCAAAAACTGCAGAAACACTTGCCGCAAAACTCATGACATAGACCAGGACCCCCTCCTGAAAAGGGGTGTCCTGGCTGAACTAATCCACACTACCGGCCTAGGCTTCCAAACAGGGCACCCCGACAGGAGGGTTCTGGGACCTGATTTTATTCCATACGAACGTGTCGTTCGCACTCACCACCCCTGTGAGGCTCCCCAGTGTCGTTGGTCAAGGCTTTGAGAGAGCTTTCCACCTTCGCCCCATCTCAAAAGAGGTTAAGTGACCGTAAATAGGGCCGTAACCTGGGGTACCGGACTGGGATAGTCCATAGGGTTCTTCAACCTCCGTTGGTCCCCAAACCCAAAGTTCAGAAACAGAACTCAGCCCAAAGCTCAGCGACACCTGGCGGGGCTCAGAGAATCAACAGAAAACCAAAGCCGACCGTCAGGTCCACGGGGCGCTTTATGGATGAGTCCCCTCGCGCGAGTCCGTCTGGTCTCGTCGTCGCTCGTCGCTCTCTTCCTCGCGCGGACGTGGTGGTGTTTCAGGACATGGGACCGGACGCGGGGCACCTGAGTTGTTCCAGCATCTTGGACTTCAGGGGCGCCTCTGTGGCCAACAAGCTCTGAGCATCGCTCAAAATGCCTCGTTTCGCGGACGGCCACGAGCGCGGTGTGTATGGAAGAAGGGAGGGGGCGAGCAGCGGAGTCGAGTGCTGGAGTGGGATGGGGTGGGGTGTGGATCACGCATTTTGGTCCAAGATCTCAGAATGAGATCACCGATAGTCCCTGAAGGAAGAGGTCACTTAGACACTCCAGTTCGAGGTCACAAGCTGAAGGTCCTGGCAGACACTGTAAATGACATGTTTAGAAATCACCGTGTTTCCGAACATACTCCAACCACACATCAAAAAGTGACTCTGAGTCAGTGGCAGCCTTGCACGTGTGCAACGATTCCTCGCATCTTCGATCAAATCTCCTTTGGCCCAGTGTCCCCCATCTTCAGTGCATCTACTATGGATCCTATTCAATTCATATCATCACCCATCCCGCTGGGTGGCCGCGGCTCTACGCCGTTCGTGGCCCCCACCCGTTCTACGCGTCGCGCGGGACGCGGAGCCCGCGTGACGCGCGCGTTCGTTTCAACCGAGGGACCACCCTCGAAGGCCAGTTGCTCTAGAAGGCTAGGAGCCGCCTGAAGTGACTGGCCCCGTTGAGGTCGACTTCGCGGATGACGATGTTCGGCGCTCATACTTGGACGATGTGTCAACCCCTATATAGGAACTACATGTAACTATAAACAGTATCACTTAGACTCTTGATGATATTGTATGTTTAACACCCAAGGTCTGAAGATGTTTATTTATATAATCCATGTTTGGCCTCACTCAAACTCTTTATGGGATGTGCCCGAGGTATCCCGAGGTTGTAAAAGGAACTGAAAGTCGTGGGAGGTGGTGAGGGGTGGGTTTGGACCGAATTGATTCACACTGCTGCACAAAGCTCAGAACGAGTTTCCTCATGTTTTTGTGGATGAACACTATGCGTGAGGGTGAATATGCTTTATATGTTAAGGAATACAAACACAAGCTCAACCGTTTCTTTAAAGCGTCTTGCAAGGCCAAGGGGTAGCACTTCCAACATTGAACCGACAACGCCACCGTTCGATATCACTTTCGTCCACCCCACACCGAAGTCTTGAGATGCCGTTTGATCCGTGAGGCCTCGAGGGTGAGTTGCACGAAGTGTAACAAGGCTGCAGAGGTGCCACCGAAGTCTTGAGCGTAGTACCTGAGACTTCACGGTGGCCCAGACCAAATGAAAGCCTCCAGACCAATGAGTATACTGCTCATAGAGTGGCAAAAACGTCTTCCTTGCGTTCCTGGTAATAAACAGCGCCCTTATCCCAAAGACGCTATGGCATATGTGCCTACATTGACCCCTGAAACCCACCCCAATCTAGGCAAATATGGCAGTCCCATGGAGTGTTTGGGTATAGAACTGATCCAAGATCTGAAGTACAGCTTCATCAACACAGACTCGAGCATTTCTTGAAAACAGCACGCATCCGACACCCCTTTAATGTGACGCCACACATGGACACTCTGGCTGATCGAAAGGTCAAAGGGGCTTCCAAGTTGGACAAATACTACAGTTCCCCCCAAATCTGCTACCACCTCCAGGCTGCTCCTTTGGTTCTGTTGTTGTTTCAATCACCTTGGTTTAAAGTGCAGCACCTGGGTCACCTGAGCATTGTTTTGCTACATGTTTATTCCATTAAGGCGTCAAACACTTCATCCTATCACGTGTTTTGCCCCCCTGTTCTGTGCTGCACACTCCAGCTCACGTTCCATGAAGTGGATGGTACCGCCAGGAACGTTGACATCTCCGCTCCCATGTGATGTGTTCATCACAGTGAAACGGCCCCTTGGAGGATGAACATGAAATCCGAAGACCAAACAGGTAGTAATTGTCCACTTCCCATGGTGATTTCAGGGAGTATACCAGCATACCCTGACATCCTCAGTTTCCTCAGTTTCCTATATATATATAATATAAGGGTAGCTGTTTGATACTTGGTTGTTTCTGCTCAAGATGTGCTTCAAACGAATTCCACAAATCCAAAAAAACCTTTGCAAAGCGCTCCACGGACTTCCTTGGGTCGACTCCATGTGAAACACCCTCCGCCGTGTCCGCGCGCTCCCGTTCCCGTTCTCCGCGTGGCTTCAGCAGCGGCGGCAAGGTCACGCGGCGCTTCTTGGGTTCCACGGCCACCTGGGTGGTTGGAAGCGACGCGGCGTCGCGGCCTGGTGCTCAGCATCCTGGGTCACCCGGGTCTCCCTTCTTCCCTCTCTCTCTGCATATACGGTATACCAGGACCCGACTCTACAGGTCTCCTCTGGTGGCTTTTGTAGACTTAAAAGTCGCAGGTGGTGGCCTGTTGGAGGGTGCTGGTATATGCTGGTATATGTTCTTCTTTATCTTTCTTTCTCTCCCTCCCTCTACCTCCGTCCCTTTGTACGTCTGTCTTTCTTGCGTTCTTCCTTTCACTCCGTCGCCATCCCTGCGAGCTCAGCGTGTTGCTGAGATCAAGCAGCCAAGAACAGAAACGGTCCGCAAAAAACGTTGCATCTGAGGCTTCTGGGTGTTGCCACCTGCGGAACAACATAGCTGGTCTTCAACTCCAGCAGCTGGATGTCTTTTTGATCAAGCAACAAAGCAGCTGAATGCCTCGAGTCATAGAGGTGTCAGGTTTTTTGAAGCCCCCATGGTGACATAGAAAATCAGCATTGGAGCCTCCTGGAGCTGGTGAGAAAGGACATGATCCCTGTGAGAAATGGAGCGGATCGGTCACAACCTCAAATTCATTGAAACAAAATCACCTGAAAAGCAAACGTTTGCAAGCTTCTTTGTCTCTCTGTAGCAAGGGCTTGTTAATTTCTCGCCACTCTTCATCAGGAAGGGATAAGCTTGCAGAAATTGCTTTCGCTACATCTGCTTGTGTATCTGACAGTTGGAATTCAAATCCGCCAGTTTGCCTCTGCAGCCCCCGTATGCAATTGGAAATGCACTGGCGTTGCAAACCAATTTCACTCGCTGCACTTGTGATCGAGTGATGCCAGGTCCACTTGTCGTCATTGGTGCCATGCGGCCGGCTCCAAATGGGCTTTGACCATGGACTCCCCTGCGTCACGGCATTAAAATGCGCCACATTTTCCGCTTGAGAGGCCCACTCAAGATTGTTTGCTGCATTGTTGCCTTTGTCAAGGTCCTTGTGGTTTACAAAGCTTTGACTCTCAGATGGCGGTGGTCCCAGAAATGCAAATGCCACAAGGCGATGAACCAACACCGTTTGGCAAAGCGAAGTGTTGCGCACGGTCGTTTTGTAGTAACCCTGTCGGGTCAAACTCCCTTGGCCTACAAGCCCACTCCTTGATGTTATGCGGCCAAAGGAGCTCACCATCCTTCCTGGCACTTCAGCACACGACATCGGATTGACCATCGACCGCCATTCTTCTCCTGTCAATGAGTGCTCACACATGGCATCTTGGTACCTGAACTCGTAGCCTTTCGCTGCAGCTTGCTCACGACAATACCTCGCTACCGTGTATCTGTGAACGCCGAGCTGCTGCGCTACCACTCTTGTAGATGCACAACATGTCCAGCTCCTGGACCCTATGGGTCTCCACAAAACGGGCTTTGACCTTGCAGGCCCATTGCTGCGCCTTGAAGGGTCTGAAAATGAGTACCGCATGTTCTCCGTGGGTGTTACATATTCAAGGTTGTCCAGGCGGTTATTGGCCGTGTCGCCATCCACATGATGAACTTGCCAAGCTCTCTCAGTCTTCGGAAGTCCATGAAAGGTGATTTTCACCACACGATGAACTCTCCACTTCTGGTTGAAAATCCCAACGATCTTGTACCCAGTTGGATGCAAATATCCGGTAGAAATAACTCCTCTGCTGTCACAAATTCGACCATGCGAGCTCACCTTCCAATTGGCGAAAAGCCGCAAAGCAGTTCTCCTCCAAGACGGTGCTACCACAGATCCACACCACGTTGTCAGCATTGGAAGACGTTGTGTTCAACTTTGGAAGGCGAACTTAATGTGTGACATTTGTGCAAACAACTGTTGTAAGGAGTGTTGGATGGCTAATGCGAGGGTCACTTGTTCTAAGACTGGTTCAAAGCACTGCACACAATGTTCTTGCCATTGAACACCTACAGTAAGAGCCATGTCTCTCCCTTTCAAGGTCTCTCTCTGCTTCATGCAAAAGTGGGAAATTGGAAAACTGCTGGAGTGAAGCCAGAGTGATCAAAGTTTTTTGTCGCTTGGTACCAGACAAAACAAGGCTACGGCTACGTTGTAGCTTCCTAAAGGCTGTGAGGACTATGAGGTAGCCAGGTGTTTCCAAGCAGGATTTTTTCCAAGTACCCTACTGTGCATGCTATCCGAAGTAAATTGACAACTCTTCAGAACCTCCCGAGCCAAAAGTCGAACACAACGGGGTCGATGATAGCAGCGGCCTTTGATAGGTTTGAGCGTGAAGAAATCCACTGGGACACACTGAGACCTATCCAAATGGGTACATGACTTGGGCACATGACTGCCAAAAAGAAACGAATCAATATCAATCAAACCTGGCCAAAATTTGCTGCGGTTGCATATGTCCTGACTCTAAAAGTTGCCTGTGCCGTTTGGCTGGGTATACCAATTGGGAAACCCTCCAAGCAGGGTTCCAACTGGGGGTCAATACCAACCGCACTCCGGTGTCAGTACCTATTAGGCGACTCAGTAAGGGGGTTGATATATCCTCTTTGCCGGGTTCAAACTGGCGGTGAGCACCTATTCCAGTGCACTCCTGTGTTGCAATGCATTCCTGTGTCAGTACCTATTCCTTGCTGAACCAGGGCGAAGAAGGGCGTCCATTAGTCAGTCCATCGGACACTCTCGTTTTGGAGATGGCCGCCTGTAGCCGACGGCTTGACCAAACGTAAACCTATCCCGTCCAGGGAGCGGGAGTTCCAGGAACTCTCAACCCAAAGGCCACCGGGGGGCTATCGGCTTCCGAGAAAAACGCAAAGGCCACCCACTTGCTATTCACACATTTCCTGGCTGCCAAGCATATCGTCCAGCGCCTCTCATATCAAACTTTCTTTGGCTTCCCTTGGCCAACGCTTGTTGTACAAAACTAGCACAGTATGTTTTAAGGACTTTGGATTGTGAAGGTATGTGCCATCCATTCAATCTACTTGCTCTACCCTTCGCACGGTTTCGGAGCTTGAACTCGTCCCAGCGGCTGTTTCAAAGAGGTACTGCGCGCAATTCAGCAAGAGCTGATCTGGGAGCGCCTGGCGGGGGACCATTTCACATTCCAAGCAACGTGCTCTCCTTGGAACTAACGAAGGGGAAAACACCCCCGTTTGCAGAGGAAACTAGTCTTTCATGGGGCCATGTTCATCCATGTTGCCTGTTTCGGATGTTGGACCTCATAGAGAGAGTACCTGGTCACTCTACCTGAAATCATCTTCTCAGGAAGTACACTCCATGGAGTCGTCATGGTTACATTGGAGTTCACCCCATTTTTAAAGGGCCAGTCAAAGCATGTCCACTTCCATGAGTCTTAGCAGGGGGAGTAGCACCAAAGACTTACAAAATCTTGGAGTTGGTTGTCCAGGCACCAAAGAATATGTGCCAGTTCAGGACCATCCCAACAAACCCATCGAACCGGCCAGGACTTACACTTCCTCGCCTCCCGCGCCCAAAGAACCTGGTCCTTATAGCACCTGTCATGGGCCCCGAAAACATGGGACTGATCACATGGGCCCTGAAAAGCCGTCCATCTTCGGGGTCCGGTCGCTTCCAGAACCTTCGGGGTCGCTTCCGAAGGTTCGAGTGTTTCGCTACACTGACACCACACCATCACCTCAGGTTTGGTGGCTTGATCTCGCAAACTGATGAACATGGCTCTTGATTCACATGTCGGCGTTGTCACATCTGCCTTTGAACTTGCACCCTGGTTTCGACGTTGTCACATGCAGCGTTCCGGGGACTGGTGTTTCAACACCCGGATCATACCAAGCGTTATCAGCACTCTGCGCAGCTGTCGGTTCACCCCTGTGTCTGGTGTCTTGTCTTTAACTGCGAGCTTAAAGCCTATGCCCTGCTGAAGTTTTGAACGCTCCCTCGCTGTGGCTGACTTTCTGAAACGCGCCACGGCCAGCCGAAATGACCGCGACAGAAAATCCCTGAGGCCCAGCCCAAACACATCTCCTCCACCCTTTTACGCGCTCAAAAAGTCAGACCGGTTTGCGTGAGCACAAAGGAGCGGTGCCTGCGGGTAGTAGACTTGCAAGCGCGGGTAGCCAAAGCGCAAGGGATAGAAAATCCCGAAGCTCACTTCCTTGGCAAAACTCAGCGATGAAATCTGAAGCCTTGCCTGTGGCGCTGTTTATAGTGAACAAATTTATAAGACAAGAATAAACAGAAAACATAAATTGCTGAGGCCATGAAAGGCTCATAGGATTGCTTTGGGATGGTCAATTCTGAGGTCTGAGTCTGTAGGCTGATTCTTGTAAGGGGAAGGAGCATCGCATGAGAATGGCTTCTTGAATGTCCTTTGGGCAGCTCTAAGGGTGAACTATATAACTAGTCAAAGACTTCCACTGGCACGTGCCCCATTGTCCGTTGCCAGGCTGTGTCCGCAAATGGCGAGGTGACCAAGACCACCCAAAATTGCCAGCAACCACGGAGCTGTCAACACCAATGATCTTTCGTGGTGTTTCTTGCCAATCTGTCCCAACGCGGGTGACGGCGTCGATTTTGGTCATCACGATTTAATAACCGCTGAAAGACAAGCGTCGGGCGCAGCGGATTCCAACGCCATTTTCGCCCTCTCACATTTGAAGCCTGGTGCCGGCAGGGAGCCGCTCCAAAGCCGGGAGCAGGAGCTGGTGCTCTGGTGCCAGGAGCGGCCAACTGCTTCTCTGGTGAGACCTTCAGGATGTGTGTTGAAACTTCAACAGTGCTTCCCTAGGATTCCGTTTTCGTACCTTCTCAGAAGGTGGTACGAAAATGGACCCTCCAAGCCTATAAAACAGTCTCTCCCAGGGTCTCAACAAGCTTCTGAGCAGGTACGACTGGATCCCAGGGCTTGGAATCTGGTTTACCTGAGTGGCACCACCTGTGTAGACAAAGGGACATGGTCATGCTCAGGACATCCACGTAACCATCCATGATGATGCGGAGTGTATCAATGCCATGATGCGACTTGGTGAGAGCCTTCAACCATTTTGATTGGTGGAAGTCGAGGCGTTTTTGAAGATGAACTCCTGTAGAACATGAGTGTGTTCTGTCGAAACCATGTCTGAAGGTGTAACATATCCAGGAGTTACAATATGGGTGGCTTTCAGTCTCTAAGTGAGTGCATCCAAGTTCCCCACCGCGACATGGATTTCCTGGATCATACTTGTACGCTCATAAACATCCTGGATGTCTGCTGCCCCACCCTGTTCATTGGCGAGTTTACAGCACATCGTTCGAAGTGGAATCTGAGAGACCTTTGCTACAAGTCAATCTTTGGGTGGAATCAATGTTCTCCTTCAGTGAAGTCAATAAAACATGGAGAAACACTACCGCAAATGCGGAGTCTTCGCGCCAAGTCAGTCAAGTCATTCTATCTCCCAGCCGCCTCGGACTCCGAGGTCCTCTCGCCGACCCGAGCGAGCTAGGCCAACCGGTGACGCGCCTTTCTGCCCCTGAAAGATCCAGCCGAACTTGGGTGCTTTGGAGTGTGCACGCAGCACCTGATGTTCCAAGTCCTGCGAACAAACATCGTCTTAGTGAGGAAGAGTCGGCACGGGCGTGACATCGCCTGCCTGACCGCCAAAGAAAGATGCAACGCCCTAGGGCTCCAGTCGCACCTCCTCAGGTTCGGTATAACTGGGCTCGACCATGGCACACCGGCCCCGGTCGTCCCACCGAACGAAATGAAGGTGCTATGGTACGAGCCCATCTGGGATGATCGATGTGCTTTTGGGATCCCCAATTCATCGACTTCTGGGCGGCCCCTTTTGCTCTCACCGAGAAGAGGATCCGAACCGATCCAATAATCCACATTGTTCAAGCAAAAGTACTTGCTGAAAAATGGCTGGCCAGCAAGTTCAAGCCAGCCACAGCATGATCACCCTGGCTTCTGTCAAAACGTCCCAGCACCTAAACCCCCCATCACCCACAAAAAGACACCACACACAGCACGTAACTCCCCAAAATCATACCAGCACTTTACTCCCCCAACCAAAAAAAGAAAACACAAGCACATAGGATAAACACTTCATTCACCCACCACCATTTGAAAACACCAAATGCCATTACCGTGGCTTACACAAAATGGATGCCCACAGTCCTGCAAGCTGAAGATCTGTCCGCCCACATTCACTGTACTCTTCTGCAAGAAGCCCAGGAAGACCTGAACTCGAAGCCAAAGAGCTCGCCCGGACGATGAAGCATTCCTTTGGGTGCTGTGGTTCAAGCTCCCGGCAATGTGTTCCAGCCGTTCAGTTGGAGTAGAATGAAACCATTCTCTCATTCTCTGAAACCAGATTCAGCAACGTTAAGGGCCGGGCTAGTTCGTGGGTACAGGTGTGGGTTCCAGTGCATCCGATATCAGCACGCTGTTTCCTTCTTCACCATCGGATGCCCACATTTTTGGATACCCCTACTTCGAACTAGCAGCGACTAGCAAAGCCGAGCCACGTGCATTGGGAAGAGGTTGCTCTGCAGCTTCTGAGGATCTGTGGTGCATATCCAGGCCAAAGTACAGGCATTCAGCACCTGTGACCAACCGCTGTTCAGGTGCTGAACCGTCCGCGACATATTTAAACACCGCCGACTCGTGAAAGGTAAAAAGCAAGTATGAAGCACATGACATTCAGGGTTTACATGTTGGAGTGGCTTAGGATGGCTGGACTGGTGCTGTCTTTTTGTTTACCTGTTTGTTTCTTCGTGTCCTCAGGGTTTCTGGACCATCCACCCACTGGCGCAAAGAGAAGGAGCTTAAGGAACTGTCGTCCCTTTACCTTTGAACATCCCAGTTGTCATACCCGACGTGAGCGCGTGCAGCCTCACTCAAAGCCATGGTTGCAAATATAGGGGATTCACCCACATGGGGTATTCATACAAAGATCAAGCTTAACACTAGCCTTATAATATATAGATCTAAATAGCTATTCTTATTGCATGCGTGCAAACATCAACCTTACTACTAGCCTTAACAAAAATACTAGATCTATTCATTGCGACTGAACTCATACAACAAAAACTTATATACAGTATGCCTGGACCCTCCAAAGACCTTAGAAAATGGGACATGACCCCATAAAAACAGGTACGACTGTACCCATTTTCCGAGGGACTTTGAGACTCCAGGTATATATATATACACAAACACAAATAGAAGGTATGTTTGGACATAACTAAATAGCTAGCTTGTAGTTCGTTGACCATCCCTTCTTCCAGTCACCTTTCACCGCCAAGGCGCGTTCAGCCAAAAAGCCTCTCGCTCGTCATGATCCAGATCCTCTGGGTGGCACGCCTCCAGCTAAAGCAGCAGGGTAACAGGAGCCTGTTAAAGAGTAAGCAATCACAACGGCAACAACAACAACAACAAAAACTACTACTACTACTACTACTACTACTACTCCTACTACTGACTACTGACTACAGACTACAGACTACAGTACTAACTACTGCTAACTGGTACTGCTGCTGCTGCCGCCACTACCTACTACCTACATCTACCTACTACAAGTACCTCCTACTTCTACTGCTACTGCTACTACTACTACTACTACTACTACTACCTACTACAAGTACCTCCTACTTCTATTGCTACTGCTACTGCTACTACAACTACCACTACTACCACTACTTCTACTACCACTACCACTACCACCACTACTACTACTACTACCACCTACTACAAGCACCTCCTACTGCTACTACTGCTACTGCTACTACTACCACTACCACTACCACTACCACTACGACTACGACTACAACTACGACTACGACTACGACTACGACTACTACTACTACTACTACTACTACTACTACTACTACTACTACTACTACTACTACTACTACTACTACTACTACTACTACTACCTACTACGACTCCTACTACTACTACTACTGCTACTACCACTACTACTACTACCACCACTACTACTACTACCACCTACTACTACTAGTACCTCCTACTTCTACTGTTGCTACTACTACTACTACTACCACCAACAACAACAACAACTACTACTCCTGCTGCTGCTGCATCTGCTGCTAAACATCCACCTGACCTCTCTGAAAAACGTTCTCAGCTTCACAAGCAAATTCTCCACTCAGGTCAACTTGGTTCTTGAATGTGCCTCAGCTTGACCTTTAGATGCTTGACTCACTTGGATGTGCTGAAGGAGCCGGACTCAAACATATTCCCGAGGCGGGGATTCATCCATGGAAACCCAACATCACCCCAAGCATCCCTAAGCAATTAGAGGCTCATGACCTTTGGATGCTCATGTGTGTTGGTCCAACTGGTTTGCATCATTTTGCATCATTGGGACACTTCACCTTTGACTCAAAGCCTTTGACCTGTTTCCTGCGGAAACCACAGCCACTTCGAGACCCAAGGACCAGCGGACTGGCCATCTGCCGCATCACCCGCACTGGGCAAGCTGGACCGATGCAAAACTGGCCAAGCTGAACTGGAATGTGTTCATGTCTTACCCTAAGAATCCAGGCCCGAAGCAACACATAGGGTTTGGTTCGGGCCCTGCCACCCCTGCCAGGGTATGGAGAGCCCAAGGGTTGTTAGCGTACATGCGAAAACCAAGAGAGGTGAAGTCAGTGACCGTCAATAGGAGTATGGAAAGCCTGGAGGACCCCCATCGGATCGCCGAAGAGGTCGGGTTCTGAAAAACCACTGTTGGAACGACCGACCTGCCAAAAGTGAACCCTAATACGACGGATCTCGGCCAAGCAGTTCCTAATCCTTCCTACGCTAGGGATCCAAGTACCTTCTCAGAATGATTGGAGACACTGTTATGATCTGTTATGTCGGTTTGGAGGGTCCAGTCCTACCTTCTGAGAAGGTATGACTGGATCCCGAGGGCTACAAAAGCCCCTTTAGTCTTTCAGCATCCTGTCCAAGACACCCGCCGATCCAAACCCCCTGGCCTGAAGCTCACAGAAGCTCAGACATAGCTCGGTCACTGCTTCAGGCGTCTCGAACTTCTCAAGCGCCTGCTTGCTAAACTTCCTGCTCCAAAACAGGGCACTCAAGCAGGTCGAACTTCAGAATGGTACACCATACTTGCGTTCCCAGTGACCGAACTTGAGATCCCAGTGCCTGAGGACACGAACGGATCTTGAAGAGGTCACTTACCAATCTCTCTCTCTCTCTCTCTATCTCCATAAGTGACCAATCCTTGTCAGAGATTTTGAATCTGAAGGGGTGTTTCGCGTGCCCACCTCCCTTCACCCCCGCCCAGCATGAATGGGATTCATTGATTCATGACTGAAATGTCACTCTCGACAAAGACCAGTATTGATTCATGTTTCTTGTGCACAATGAGAGGGCAAAGCAACGCACAAGGAGCCACCCTTCTGTGCAATCACAGTCACCATTACTCTAAGCTGCAATCAAAATCCGACAAATCCAAGCTGCAAACTTTTTGGTTCTATAGACCCCAGATCCGAATCGGACTCCAGTTGGCCTCCAAATCAGGAATTCAATGGAAACTCATACTCTGAATTCCTTTCTTTCTCCGGCTCTCCCCCCGTGTCTTATCATGTCATATATGGGGGCGTCCCCAATTCGATCCCTCCAAAAACCCCGTCATCTCCCGGTCCTGCGGGGGCTCCGCCCGCTGCTCAGCAGCGTCGGATCGCTGCGCCGCGCCAGGTCGTCGCCGGTCGCCCGCGCAGGCGACCGGTCAGGGGAGTGCGGCGCCACGAAGGACCTGCGGCGAAAACGGCGCGGAGCGCACCGGCGCGGGGAAGGAGTGTTTGGGTGTTTGGATGGTGGAAGGGATGGTGAAGGGATGTGAAGAAGAGCTGGGCTGGAGAAAGTGAAAGTCAGAATCGACGGTTTGCGGCGGTTGTTCGTGCATTTCAAGATGTTTCAAGAACTTTCAAGATGGCATAATATCGCTATATATGGCTACAAAGAAGGAATGAATCGGTTTCAAGATGGACTGCTATTCTCCTTGTTGGTTTAATGTGTGAACACCACGTGCGGCTCAACTGGTGGCTTGGACCCCCCGCCTGGCAGCCGCAGGGCTGGGACTCAAAGAGAGATTCGAGGTCGTCATGCTCCTCAGAGTGTTGAGCCATCAGCGGATCACGAGCTCCTAAAAAAACACCTCCCTACGGACTTCTAGTCTGACCCAGGTCGTCCAAACCTAGTCACTAGTCTTTTACCTGCTAGCGTAGTGGCTTTTTGAGACTAGCTCCAGTCTGAGGTCAGTTCCTGACCCCTAACTCCTCTGAGCCCGTGCAAGAAGAGACCGGCCGGAAGAAGCTGCCGGGCTCTCCTCAAGGTCTTTCGGCGTTGCTGCGTTGGGGAGAGGAAGTCCTCCTCATCGAAGGTGGTGGTGCCACCAGAAATGCGAACCTTCTTGGAGCTCTTCCTGCGAGAGAAGGGACAACTCCCTCCCGGGAGGGCACCGTTTCCGGTGCTCCTTTTGTAAGAGAAAATGTTCCATCACTACCCTTAGAATATGCCAATATATAGAGCAAAAAGTGAGTGAGCCATGGCAGGTGGCAAAAGAGAGTGGCTTCATGTGGCTGGGAATTAGCTAGCTAGAATGAAGGAAGTTGGGTTGGGAGCTGATCAAAGAGAACAAAATGTTGATTCAACAGTTTGTTTGGGCGATGCGATTGCAGGGTGCAGGAGGGCAATATGGTTTGAGGATTCAGGAGCATCCTGCAGGGCATCTACACACAATGCATCAATAATAATCTGGCTTTTGGCCTGCCAGGATTTTGCAATACTACTTCTAATTGCGCCAACATCCAAACACCAAAATGGATGAACATTTTGGCGAGTCAACGATAAACATGATACAATAATAGTCAGTGTTTTTCTCTCAGATCCCAATTTGCCTTCAGAATGCTTTCTCGTTTAATTGCGTCTCAGAAATATCAGGCATGTTTTTGTTATTAGTTTTATTCTTATTTCTTTTTGTTCTTTTGTGGGATCCTGTTTTTTATCTTTGCCCATCAGATTTCCAAAGACTTTGGCTAGCCAAAAGTATGCAACCCCTATAAAACAAAAACAACAAATATCTTCAAAGGGAACCCCTTTAGACTCCTACCCCTGCAATGACAAACCAACCTACCATAATCAACCCCCCTGCAGCCCTGATGGCTTGTTAGTTATCTTACGCTTTCCCTTTCACTTTTAATTTCTCCTGTCTTTGTCCTGCTCCTGTTCCTTTTCTTTTGTTCACAATGAAAGCAAATGAAAGCAACTGGCCTGGAAGTTTACAATTGCCATTGAGATGCTTGACCTCCAAAACAAAGTCTTTTTTTTAATAGGGGGAGGTGGTTTTACAAATGCGAAGTTAACATTATTTGGCACTACCAGCTTGCCAATGTTAAGTTCTGCCTCATTGCTTTACAAGAAAGGATTGAACCCCGAAATTGTCCCTTGAACTACTCCACTTGGATTGGTTGTCAGGAATTTTCCAACATGTTGGAGTGAAGCCTTTTCTTCTGCCTTTTTGGCCCATCCTCTTGTTGGCGTCTTTGATGCTTTGCGCCAAGTAGAGGCACAGGAACGCCTTCCGCAGCAGCTGCGCGGCGATCAAGGTGGGATGCCGCGGGGTGCGCAAACAGGTCCTCGGCATCGGCATCGGGTCGCGGTGGTCGACGCGGCGGGGGTCGAACGTCATCCTGGAGTAGATGGAATAGTTGGTACTTGGACCCGACTGACCCACCTTGGCAAAATGGGACATCCAGGACCTTCAGTTCGTGACCTCTTTGGAGTCTCTAAGTGACCTTTTACTAGCCTGTTCGTGACCTCATCCCGAGGTCACTTTGAAGGTCCTGGATGATCCTATTAAAACAGGTACGACTGGACCCATGTTCCGAGGTACGTACGGGTCGACTCCAGGTACATCCAATGGATCATGGTAAGAAACCATTAGAACTCTTAGCAAAAACTGGTGGTGAAACAAAACATGGAAAAAACTGCTCCAGGATACGTGTATATCAAATTTCTGGTCAGATCAGTCACTTCACCCACCAGGATCCTGGCTGATCCTGCTGCACAGCAGGTTTGCGAAGAGCCCAAGCAGCAACTACAAACCCTGCCTGACTCGATGTGCAAAAGGTGTGAATCCACTACTGCCACAAAATGCTGGTGATACCAGTACTGTCCAGATCCAACCTGGTACCTGGTATCAGCTGTTTTACATGGCTTAGGTAGTACTATGTTTATCTATTCAGTTCTACTCTGTCAAATGTATATATATATAATATATAGACATTGTACAACCAGCCTTTTGAATCACTTGCAGTTGGTGATTCTGACAAAAAAAAACATCGTCATCTCTTTCTTCAACACATCAGGTGATCCTCGGCTCCCTCAGGAAAACCCCGGTTGAACCAACCGCTGAGAGAAGAACTTAGTGACGTCAGCCGTGAACGAACCGGACCACCCCTTTTGAACGCCTTCCAAGCAGCACAGATTCACAGATCCCCCAAAAAACAACAACAAAAACAACATCAAAGGACGAATCGGAAGAGCTCACCTCGCACCGTCCACTCACCTTGCACCGATCGGGCTTCTTCAAAACCTCCGACCGAGGCGCCGCTGCAGATTCAGCACCCGGGGCGAGGCGGCGGAGTGCGGCGACGGCGGCGCGGGCGAGGCGTCGTCCTCGGCGACCTCCTCGAGGAACTCCGCCGCATCGGCCTGGAGAGGAAGCCCGGAGAGGCGGTGTATTAGTGGTAGACCTCCCAGACCAAACGATTGGGTCTGGAATAGTTAGCTAATGTGACCCGTTACCCGCATTAGGGCCATCAAAGGGGTAAATGAATGTATTAACCCTAGGGCTCCAACCACCTCCTGAGAAGATGGTTGGGGTGGGTTCGGGGGGTCTAACCACCGAACCTGAGGATATGGGACACGAGCCCTAGGGTAAACTATTCCATATACATGACATGGATGGTCTGGGACAGGGTGAGACTCATCCTCGTAAAGGTCCTAGACCTTCCAACGGCTAAAATATTCTAGTACGATTGGGTTGTTGTATTAGTTTCTGATGCTTCGATGGTCTAGGGTGACTAAAACTACACCTCCCGAAAACTCACATGGACCCCTATGACCCCTGGCACCCTCAGTCCGACTGTTTTCCTCTAGCTGCACCAGGCCTGAAAAGGGGGTCTATGTTAGTTTTCACTGGGGTAAGTCGTTTGCAATTCCACTGACATGGTGGGGCTATTGCAACTCTGAAGCATGTTGACATGTCATATTTATTTCTATACTTGCTAGCAGCTTCGCAACTGCCCAACTGATTCTGAGCAGTTTAAACATTGTAACGGATGATGTGAGCAAGTCATGGATGTTACTTCACCAATTGGTGCATGTCGACAGCACTTGTCTGGCGTCCTTGGCTTTTGCATCAGTCCATGTGCCGTCAGGTGCCGTCAAGTTCTCCATTTGATCAGTCCACCATCAGCTCAACCTGTTGCCCACACGTAGCGCATCGTTCTTCGTGCGGATCCCCGGAACTCCGCAGAACACGATGGAAACCAGCGGAGGCCCTCGCCGTGGTTTCCCCAGCGGTTCGTCCCATGCGAACCCTCACTGGTTCGGTTCGACCAACCCCCACTGGGTGCCCCAGGTACGGTCACATGGCCACCCCATGGTGGGAAACCAAACGGCCTCGGCCCCGGTCGCCGGGTCGCGCGCCCGGGTCGCGCGGCCGGAGGACGGCCTCCGAGGAGGAGGGGATCGATGGGAAGCTGCTGTGAGTCTGCATTCGGCAGAGTCCTAAGGTGCGAAAGCCTGGGCGGGTCTCACAAGGTCGACGGAAAGGAAGAAAAGCTGTATACGAAGCACCATCTCTATATATATATAGGTCAATGAATGGTCCTAGTTGTTTGAACCATCTACCCGGAAACATCCGGAAACCATGGATTTTCACCCCCGTGCCCACATACCCGTTTTTTCCCGTGCAAAAATCCTTTTGGCGATGGCTGGAGTGTTGGAGCTCAAGCGATGCTTAATGATGCTTATAGCTCCGCGGATCTTTTCTGAAGTAGCTAGGGCTCCAAGTACCTCCTCAGAAAGTATTTGGACCCTCCTGGCACCCACCCCAAACACCTTCGTAGAAGGTGCGACAGGAGCCCGTCTGTGGATGTTCTGCTCATCTGCCTATATGATCTGCCCACCTTCCACCTATAGAGCCCAAAACATGACCTCTGTTTTGAGTTAATGACGAGGCCGGGTGGTTCGGGGGGTCGGTTCGGTTCACTCGCGGGGCCTCCGGGCAGATCCATGACCCCGCGATCCCGAACTCTGCAAAGGTAGGGAGCAGTCTGGCTTCAAGTTGACCATGTCCAATGCACCTATCAGTTGGCCAGGAAGAAGGCTTGAAGAGTTAAGTCCTCGACTTCCGGTCGCTAAGTATGGAGTTTGAAGCAGCATCATGACACCATGCATGACTGGGGCGGTTCATCTAAATTTCCTCTCACTTGCTATAGTTACTAGCAGCTATGTTGTCACTGGGTGGGGTAGTCGAGAGCACGACGAGGTCGGAAAGAGCACGAGGTCGCTATATGCCAAAGCCCCAGGCATGCTGGGGATCACGAGCTCCAACCGAATCGCTGTGCGAGGAGGAGGTTTTTTCGGGCTGGTTCAGTTGCCGGGCACACGACATCACGAGCCTATGTCATTGAAGTCTAGACACATGGTCAACAAACAGCTACTCACAGGTGTCAAACGTCGCAGCAACTATCAGCATGCCCGTGTCAAACGTCCACAGTGCCATGGGACCATGCACCCAGTCCATGCACCTGTCCGGTCTATGCCTCACAGCATCTCAAAAGCTCTGACTGACTCAAGTTTCATGTCCAGTCATCTTAATTAATGTAGACTCTTGATGAATAAACCCCCCAGTTTGAATGGGACATCCTCTTCATATCGGGGGGCTTATCAATCAAAAAGCCATTAGATCCTTGCCCAGCACCGACCTCCGCCGTCTCCGGTCTCCGGTTCCGGACCTGACGGGGGGGCCCGGTTCCGTTTGGTCGATGGTTTGGTCAGCCACCGGCTTTTCTCCGGTAGGCGACCTGGTGGGAACTGCCCAGTTAGATGCCCTGACGTTAGATGGCCATACTCCTCCAAAAGTGGTCATCCTATCCTGAAAACCATGCCACGGTCCGGACGTCGCCATTTCCCTCGGCGCCTCCACTCCAGGAGTGGGCGCAGGTGCTGCTGGAGGCCTGGTGCTCGGCAGGGGCTTCGAACAGCTCTGCGAAGGAGTCCAGGAGTTGCTGCTCCTGAAAAGCGATGGCGCGATGTCTAGACATGAGTTGTCCAGGAACCGGAGAAACGACTTCTGCAGGTTATATAGGGCCTAGGGGGATTCACCCCAAAAATAGGCAAAATGAGGAAATCAGGATCCTAAGCAAAACCAAATGATGTAAAAGCAACAGGAATGTCGTTTTGTTTGTTCTTCAGCGAGGTTGATCTTCATCCGGCGCCCAAACATGTGAAGCAAAAACGGCTCACTCTAGGATTTGGCAATGAGAACGTAGCTGAGTATATAGGGGCCTCGAGTTGTTTGGAGCGGGTTTTGAGCGCTGGCGCTGGGCAAGTAGTTTCGCTTTCACAGGACGATCCTTCGGCTTCTGGTTTTGCAGCTGCAGGGTGGGAACATGGTGGGACCATGCCCACCAAAAGAAGAATCATGTTCAGGACCCCTGTGTTCCATGAAGGATTGTGAGCTTGCCTGTTCGCAAAAAAAACAGCGTGCTTTTTTGGGGGGGGGCGAATTCTGGAAACACATTGCCGCCCCCCTGAAGCATTCAAAACACGAACAAACCAACCAACCAACAAACAAACAAAACATTGTGAAAACTGCCCCCAAATCCGACATACGCAATGATGCCGTGATGCCATGTTTCGAAAGCTATAAGGCTACATGACCATCCCATTGCAGCGGGAAATCGCTGGTCACAAGTGCCGGGCAGCCTCTGGTGGACGAGTAGGCTCAGCGGCCAACTGGGAGGCCATGGCCTCCGAAAACAAAAGAAGTTGGCACATGACATGACCAGTCGGCCTGTGTAAGGTACGTGATCTCAGTTTTGGAACCCAGTGGGTCCCAGTTACCAGTTGCTAAGGTTTTTGGGTCTATGGCCTTATGTATACATAGACCCCAAAATAATCAGTAGATCTACAAATAATTTATTGGACACCGTTTCTGTTTCTTTGGGAGACCTGCGAACACATTCTCGTCGAACTGGACACATTCGCGGGACGACACTGCAGCGACGGAAACAGCCCTCCACATCCACTTGGTAGTATATCCCAGACACTCCATGGGACTGCCATACCTGGATCCTCCTTTGGGCGGAAAAAAGTGCCGGACCTCAATCCGGCAAATTTTTCCGCCGGATTCCGAAAAAAACGCCGGAGACCTGAAAAAACATCCGGATCCAAGATTCTGAAAAGCAGAGATGATAAAAGGCTGGATCATACACAAGCAAACTGCCTTTGCGCCACAAGTAGTTTTTTCTGGAACACACTCATTCCACAACCCAGCACTGGAGCCTTCCCGTTCCCATTGCCCTCGCCCATCTTCCGAATGGCCTAAGAGCAGAACCATCACAAAATATAAGCAAACTTGTGCCCAAGCAAAGACTTCCAAGAAGAAACCAAGGAGTATGTGGCAAGGAACCCCTATTTCTCTGCACCCGTGTCTCTAATTGTTTTTTACAAAGTGGCTCTCCATGATTCTTATATGGTTTTAAATTGTTTTTTATTGCTTGCCTCAGGACGGCCCCGCCAATAAAGTAGCAGCACTCATGGTTCCTGTCGAAACTCTTAGTTGAAAAACTTTTCAAAATTCAAAAGACTGAGTCCAACAAAATACGCCGGAGTTACGGGAAATTACGCCGGAGTTACGGGAAATTACGCCGGAGTTACGGGAAAAAACGCCGGAGTTACGACGTGCAATTTTTCTTAGCAACTGTCTGCAAAACATTGAGATTCTGAACAACACATGTTCCACAGCCCAAAACTTGTCCGGCAGGCTCTGCAATCCTGCGCAACTAGAACTAATTATATCCCAGCGCCCTGACATCCTGAAACAATGGGAGTACATCTTTGCCTATGTTCTTTCAGCTTAGGTACTCCCACTTGGGTCTTTCAACACGTGCATCGCACTGTACCAATTTCATCCGATTTCACTTAGAAGATCACCTAAACGGATCTGATTGATCCAGTGTGAACCATGCTGAAACCGGTGGAATGAGAAAACAGCGGAACAGGCAAATGAGCACACTTTGCAAGCAAATCATTACCTTCAAAGAAATGCAAGCCACAAAGAATGCAAAGCCTTGAGAATCCACATTTCAAGTGACTTGGAAAAACCGCCGGACCAAATCCAGAAAAACGCCGGAGTTGGAAGTCCGGCGCCGGACCCTGTAAAAGTGCCGGACTGAAGATCTAGGTATATGCCGATCAGTTAGGGTGGTTTTGGGGGTCGATTGATTGGCATATATTGTTATTTATTTGGACTTCTGGACTTCTTTCTGGAAAAAAAACACGGCCTCCGCTGTCCAGGAATTGTTCTTTCTTTCATGTTGTGACTCTTTGGAAGAAACTTTCCAGATCTTCGCACCATGTCTTCGCGGCGGCGCCTGGAGCCAGGAAGGCCGAAACGAACGCTGCACCAGGCTGCTTCTCTGCTTCATCCCAGCCACCAAGGTATCAAGGTCAGAGGCATTGCCTGCCAGGCGGGGGTGTAAGTTGAGGGGGATGGACTTAGTGTTCAGGGCCAACAAGTAGACTCCTCATGGGACTGAACCCCATATCCAACAATAGCCGGCTAATTTGATACTAAGTTTTATTAGTGTACTGTACTTACTGGCACGTTGTTGCCTACTTGATCGCGATTGCCTCTCCTTGGTTCTTCCGTCCAACTGACTCCGAACACAGAAACCAAGAGCCTTCACACGTGACCGGAGCTGGTCTTTCCAGCGGTCTTTCCTTCCAAAAGCGCCGGACCACGTGCACCATCTTGGCCAAGGGCGATGCTGTCGACCGGGACGGCGCGACAGCTGCGGATGAGGCGGAGTCGGAGTCGTAATGGAGATGGAGATCCTGAGAAACCGGTCGCTCCGAAACGGTGGGCATGGCAGGGCGTGGCAGGTGGTGCGTGTGGCGTGGCACGGGGTACAGGGAGTATGGTATAAAGCATCCCTGGTTGGACGGTCGCCTGCTGGCATGGCATTGATATATAGGTAAATAAATACCTAGAGCCTGAGTGTTCTCTCTATTGTTGGACCACCAACCACCCAAAGCATGGCCCTATTCCAATCAAAATAGAGGTCACTCCTCTGGGTTCTAGGTAGATTAATTATATACTACTTGTTCAAATCCACCTTGCACTTGGTCACTGCCATTGGTGGTGCGACGCCGTCGCATCTTCCCCGGGGGTATTAAGCAACGCCGTCGCCGTCACCATCGCAGGCTCAAATTGGATGGGGTCATGTAGGATCTCGATGAATAAATCCCCAAGCCTGAAGAGGTTGTTCAATCATGTTCAATCCAAAATGGGAGGGTTATTCTAGCAATTCATCAAGATCCATCAAGATCCTACATGGACATCACCACTGAAAGAAAAAACGGAGTCAGGTCCAAAAAAAGGATCACATTCACTGAGATATCCAGATGGGGCAATGTCCACAAAAGGACAGGACCCCCTCGTTCTCCTACTTCGTCCCTGTGCCGTGGCGGGATCCAACTTGAATCGCCTTGGACGCCCAGCTTCGAGGCTTGGTCCTAGCAATCGTCCAGACCTCCCACGCAGCTCCAAGATGGCCTCCGTCTCAGTGTCCTCCAGCTCTGAGCTGCAGCTCCTCGGCGGCTCGGCGCTGCGGTGTTCGCTCTCGCGCGGGCGAGCGCAGGCCGAACTCGCCGCGCGAGATGCGGTCGACCTTTGGCTTGGCTGAAGGGGGAGAAGAAGGCATAAGGAGCAGCTGGAACACTGCGAGAAAAGATCTAGGTGTGTCTGCACCAACGGGGAGACCCACCAATTCACGGGTTTGGGTCTAGGTCACTTCTTCCACGGAGTCTTTGGGAGGTTTTCTTTAGTTTAACGACAAATAGCAATTGCATAGAATTGCCGTGCCACATGACCACCTGCGAATAAAAAAACACGATCCACCTATAGTAGGTGGGGAGAGACTCCAGGGGAGTTTCTAAATCCATATTATGGAGTTCTCGTGAGGAGACTCCCCCTTTCTTTCCTCTCAGTTCCATTCCCTTCCTTTCCGGATTGCAGGATTTGCACATGTTTTGACCTGCGGGTGTCCCTGGGTCAGCTTAGTGAGTATCTGAGTTTTGAACAAACAGCTGAAACAGCAAGAAGCAGGTGTTCCAAGACGTGCTTTCTTTGCGTGATATATTTGAGGAGAGGGCCCCAATTCCTGGGAATCCTTCAATGCGACTTCTGCCAAAGCTGATCACTTCAGCTTGGCGCTCTCCAAAGCGTGGACCCATTTTGCTCAGGAACTGCAACACTTCCCTCATCACCTTCAAAACCGACCGCCACAAAATGGTGCTCCTACTCAACGATCGTATGGCGATGCGTGTGATGCGACACCACCAACACCACATCCTATACTATATGGCTGCTATACTATACAGCCCAGCAAGCGGCAAGCCAACGACCTCACTTTTGTTGAGAAAAAAGGAGCTTTCTCCGACGAAGCTCCAACAGAGGTGGAAGGACCCTATAGACTATCCCAGGAACCGGTACCCCAGGTTACGGGTCCTATTTACGGTCACTTCACCTCCATTGGCTGAGCGTTCGCTGAGTCTCTCAAAGCGTGAGCTCACCGAGAACAGCTGCGAGCTCGCATGGCTCGTGCCCTGGCGGTGTCCGGAGGCGAGGTTCATGGAGAGAAGTGTGAGGAGACTGGGCTTGGAATTTGGAACCATGAGCGGCCCAAGGGTCTTGGATCCAAAAGCGCATGTTGAAGGGTATAGGAATGGGCTAAGCCGCAAGCCTTCCAGAACATGTACAAAACAGGTTCCAACACACTGGGCGGTCACGTGGAACACCCCGAAAGAACCACAAATAACCACAAGTCAGCGCCAATTATTGCCAGCTAAGGCTAAGGAGCACCATTCAATACATGCATGGTGATGAAGCTTACTTGGGGTGCCTTCACGTGTGCAGCACAAATAATCCCGAGTTCCTATTAATAAACACTCCCCAATTAAAAAAACACCACGTCCGAACCCCTAAATTCGGTTTATATTTGGTTTTAAATTGCCGCCCTTTCAAACGCTACTAAACTACCAACATGGTCGATTTTGGGGGTAGTTTTTTTAATTAGGTTCCCCAAAACTCCACCATGACACGCCGCGCTTACACCAGCAGGCTTTCCTTCCCTCAATGGCACGGACTCACGCAAACGCACTTGCCACCGAGGTCATGCAACACCGCATGGCACAGCGACATCACCTTTCGAAAGCTTTAGCTGTTAGTCTACTGAAGAATCACTATTCTAATGAAGGTTTTTGTAGGGGAAAAGGAAGACCCTTCGATCTGGCGTTTTTTTGCATTTTTGATACGAGTTTAATAAAGGATTTTATATAAAATGTTCCTGGATTACTTTTTGGTTTTGAAACTCTTTCCAGGTGACCCTATTTTGGGCCCCCCCGATTTCAGGGACCCCCTACTAGAAAAAATGCGACCGAGGTTTTTTTAATGGGGGGGGGGGCCGTGTTTATTAATAGGAGGATGGGATTACATTTACCCAGCTGGCCACCGCCCAAAACGCGCACACACCGGGACATATATATATATATACCAGGACCATATATATATATACCAGGACCAACCTCCGGAGTTGAACTCCAATCATGTGGGTCGTGCTTTCGCATCGGTTTCACAATCCCCAGACACTCGCCGAGAAACGGCCAGGGGTGGTTGACCTGGGGTCAATGGCAGCAGTCCTATGCCAGTCCCATTGGTCGTGTTTCGCAATCTATTCATGAGAACTCAATAGAACTCAGGTCAAACAGTATCGTTCTCGGTCTTCTCGGCGGTTCACCGCCGGGTTCCCGCCAGCGGGTTCCATGCCGCCATGAACCACCTAACTTGGGGGCCCAAACGTGCCACCGAACCTCTGAAACCACAACAAAAACAGCACCTGCAGCATCGAGCCCTGCGCGTTCTCGTCGACCAGGTCGGTGGCCGCATTCGGAGTTGGGTCGGTGACCGCAACGATCGAGCCCTCCAGCTGCAGCAAGGCTTCTTCGAACCTCGAGCTGCAGGCGGCAGCCCTCCGGTCACCATGCTGAGAAGGTTTAGGAACGATTCCCCTGCAATAATCCCACATCCTCAGGTTCGGTGGTTATAGACACCCCAAATCCACCCTAACCACCTTCGAAACGGAGATAGTTAAGTTGGAGCTCAAAACGTCTCGAATCACTTTGAGTTACAGCGCCCCACCAAACGGGACGACCTGCAAAACCGGAAGGAAGTTGCTGGCTGCAGGTGAGCGAAGCCTGGTTCTCAAAACGATGGACCGCAAGGGAATTGAACACGTCCGTGGGCTCCGCCAAGGAACAAATCCAAGTTGGGTTGGTTGAAAGAAGGATCAATGTAAGTACCACAAAATGTGCTAAACGGTCAGTCTTATACCACACATGGATCTAATTCTCTGGAAGGACACTGGTCGTTTTTCTTGGGGTGGAGGAGAACTCTCTCGGTGGACAGGTCGAGCCATGTGGACCTTCGTCGACGAACGGGAAGTCGACGAACGGTGACGAAGGCTCTGACGAACTCGCTGAACCACCCAGCCAGGGGGGGGAATGTCCCGAAACCAAACCCCTTTCGGTCGCCCCTTTGGGCTCCAGTCGTACCTCTTCAGGTGTTTGGACCCTCCTGGCAACCACCCCAGTCCCACCTTCTTAGAAGGTGCGACACGAGCCCTAGGGTCAAGAAATCAAGTCGGACTTCGAGCCGGGCATGCCATGTGGCAAGATGAATGCAAATCGTCGAGGATATCCGACAGGTGTCACCCGCATTTATATTACAATGTGACCTGCAAGAATTCCATATTCAGATATTATACAGCCCTGGTACCGTGGCACCCTTCAACATTGCATGTTCTTCATTCTGGGGAAGCTCCATGAACCCTCTCTTCGTCCGAGAAGAACACACATGACGCCTCATGACGCACGGAACTCGCCCAGGCGCAAGATCCTGCCACGCTTTTGGGCATTCACCTCGCAAAGCAGCTCGCGAAAGGCTAGTGTTTCGACCTGTGGCTGCGGCCAGGGAAACTGATCGCAAGAAGAGAAGTTCTTTTGCGTCACTAGGAGCACCAGTGCCCTGGTGTTTTCGCCCACGGTCTTCCCACAAGTGGCTTGGGCAACCATTTCTTGGCCACCACGGAAAAGGGGTGGTCAATGAACGCCGCCTGACTGCATGTTCCATCCAACCACCCCCGAACCGAGGTGCTTTTCTGGGCGTGGGACGACGCCTCCTAGAGACTGGTTGCGTCCCAAACCGGTTCCCCACTCCGAGAGGTTCACCGAACTGTCCACCTCTTCAGAGGATCACCGGTGTTCTCTGTGGGATCACCAGCCTTGAACCACCAGGCGCCTTGAACAAGTAGCACTGCGAAAGAGTTGCCAAACCAAAACTGCTGGGTTACGAAGGGTGCATAACCCGCGGGATCATGCCTGATCCCTGTTTTTGGATTAAAGAAAAATCAGAGAAAGGCCACAGTAGTTAGGGAGATACTGGGAGGGTTCCAAATTCCAAACATGTTTTCACGCGTGATAAGTTTTAACCAACCAAAGTTCCATCATTCCCTAGGGCTCCTGGCCCACCTCCGTTTCGAACATGCTTGAGGTGGGTGCCAGGGGGGTCTAACCAGCGAACCTGAGGATATGGGACAGGAGCCCTAGGGATTACCTAAAGGCTCTTGGAAACCAAGTGACCACCTTCTACTTTCCGCCCTCACGCGAAACATGAAAGGGGAATACCACCAGGGAAAACTGGTCTTCTCAGTGGCCATTTTCATCCATTTCCCAATCTTCCACTTCTATGTGTGATTCACCGGTGGATGATCTAGCTTCTTTTGACGTGAACATCACAGGGTCTTGAGCTTGGAGCTCCGCATGGCTCTTCTGTACAAGATGCAGGTTAACACACCCATGCATCGCGCCCGAAGGTCGATCGGTTGGGCCGCCCTGGTGACAAGGTCTGTGGTGCAAGTGCAGCTTGCAGCTGGCAACATGCTTGATGTGGTCAATCACAGTGCTCCAAACGACAAATTAATGCTCTTTGTTGCCGGATCCTGTGAGAAAACGAGTGAAGACACTATGGTTACTCACTACTCTGTAGGTGCCAGGAGGCCCAAGTCATACCGAGAAGGTGTGAGGATAGCAGTTGGGACCTGTGGCCACCGGCCTATTCACCAGCTCAATTGGACATCTGTCGGTGATCCCCCATCGGGCGGGCGGCCCGGATCGACCAGGGTCTAACATCCTCTGCCGCACGGTTCGGCGGGCCCGGACAGAACTGCACATTGGAAAATGTTGGGGAAAGAGTTGCACTGGAGAACTTGTAGAGAAGCACAATTGGCCGTTCGCTTCCGCTCTGATTCGTTGGACTCGTGGTCCACCACGAGGGTCAAGTATCTCCAATAAATATGGATGCATGCACAGGGGCACCAACAGTTGGCTCCTGGGGATCAAACCCACAGCTGTGCCTTGATACCCCTCTGCCATGACATCTCTCCTAAAAATCAGTCAAACTGCTTCACGAGTCAAGCGGCCTCCTGGGAAGTGAGCCTAGGCCTAGTCGCTGATCCATGTGGAAAAGCAAAAGGAATTGGATGGCATTGGTGCGCACTTCTGGGCTGTGTCTTCCCAGGATTTGCCACCAAACCAGTTGAGGAGCACAGCACGAGCAATCTTCAAATGGTGCTCAAAAGCGCCCGCAACATTCCAGCTGCGAGTCGCAATGGCACCCACCTCATGCAAGAATTGACCTAGAGCACTCCTAGAGCCTTTCGGTGACCTCTATTTTGGACCACCCACCCAAAATGTTGTCTTTTCCTATCGAAACAGAAGTCACTCCTCCAGGCTCTAGGAAGAGATAGAACACTCCGCCTTTTATGAAGATAGAACATGATAGAAAGTTGCCTTGGTCCAGTCACCCCGGAGCCTTGTGCACCACAGGATCCTCCGGCGCCTCCCGTCCGACGCCACTCACAAGCTGATGATGACTCGCCGCCCGACAGGCGGGGCCTCCACATCGTCAGGTCCATCTGGAAAGGAGGCCTGACCTTGGCAGCTGGGCGGTTTAAAACAGCTTGGCTTCAGCTTGGGCTTCAGCTTGGTCCGGCTGGAGTTCCAAAAGACTTCGCAAGGTCGATTGGGAGTGATGGTTGCCAGGTAGGCAGTCATTGACCAGCAATTCCCCAGAAACAGGAGACATGGCGGCCTGACATGAAAAGGCCTGCCCTCGGGATCCAACGACGGGTGTTGTTCACTGGCGCCAGTTCACTTGAAGCCTCTGGAACCCTCACACTCCGAGTATACTTAACTACCTCCTCACAAGGTGTTTGGACCCCTCTGGCACCCACCCCAGTCACACCTCCTCAGGATGTACAAGCTTGGAGCCCTTCAAACTTGGAATACCATTCTTTGGTTAGTCAACTGGAGGGGCTGGTGGGGTGCAGATACCAAAAAGTGAGGATCAGCAACTCGGTTTGCTAGAGTCCTTAGGTTTCTACCTTGATTATGTTTGCTACTCGCCAAATCTATCGAAATCCAGTGAAAAACGGACCCAAAAGCACTTTTTTCCACCACCTGGACTTCTCTCCAGACCGCATATTTTCAAACCAAGCGACGCATCTGCTCCACATATGCCGCGAAGCTGGTGGGGTATTCCGCCGTGAGCTTGAGGAATGCACCGATGCCTTTTTCTCCGGACTTCGGTCGCTTGGTCAAGACCCACCAGCCACGGAAGTCTGCAGTCTTCATTGCTTTGGAAGTCTGGTGGCGCATCGCAACTCTGGGCTCCGCGGGAAAAAAAGAACCCGCGCTAAAGTAGATGGCGTGACTGGCGGCTGATTGGCGGGTCACTCGGGCCAAAAATGGGCTCTCCGCAGATGTGCGGTATTTCCTTCTCGAAGGCGCAGGTCAGAACATGTCTCGCTTGGGTTGAGGGAGGAGGTCCGACTCATGTGTTGGGGATTTCAGTCGGGTGGCAGGGCAGGAGTTGCTCCAACAGGCATTGGTGCAAAGGACCCATCGGTACGACTGCACTCGCCAAAGCCACCCCAGTCCCACCCTTTTCAGAAGGTACGACTGGAGCCCGGAGCCCGGAGCGCCTTGGAAGCCCCGGAGCGCCTTGGAAGCCTTTTTGTGTGGCATGTCGCCTTTGATCAAGGGGTTCAACGGAGGTCCATGTTTTAGTATGCGCTTCCCTGTGTCCGCTTCCCATGTCTATTTCTGCCCGAGTATTGACATGTGGATTTAGTTGATCAAAGAACGCAAATTGAAAAACATCCCAACACCGTGTTTCAAAGGAATCCCTTGCATGAGCACTGTGAATGCATGAGCATGCATGAGCACTAGAGCCAAGGCACCCATGCTCGGCAAAAGGCCTGTGCATCCAGTTCTTGGCTATGAACATATTCTTGAGCATCAAAGACCTGGGCGTATGGGCGCCATACGGCAGGTCCATGTCCCAGCGGTCCATGGTGTGCGGGAGGCACAGTACAAGGGGGCCATCCCACTCACGAGGGAATCTACCTGGAGTCGACCCGTTCGTGCCTCGGAAAATGAGGACTCAGTCGTACCTCTATTTTTTATAGGGTCATGTCACATACTTTGGAGGGTCCAGGTATGATCTACAATTATTGGATGGTATATGCAGTTGGTGGAGGGTTCCCCTTTCTGGCAAAGTTCCACTCACGACGAGAGGCTGCGCAGTCAGATTGCTCGGCCTTCCCGATGAAGGGCCGTAGCTCCAGGAGAGGCGCTAAGGATTGCAGAAAGATCACCTGCACTTCCTTGGTGACGGCAGGCATGACAACTACCCAGACGCTCATGGGCTCTCATATGGGGTCTCAAATCCCTAGGTTTTGAGGGACCAAGGGCTGTTTGGAGCGTCTGGGTAGAACTATCACATCTCTCCATCCACCTCTTCACGACCCACCTCCTCGCATTCGAACCATCGAAAGTCAGCTGAACCGGCGAACCGGCGAACCGGCTGCTCCACCCCACCGGCTCGGCCTCGTTGGAACTCAACCGGTCGACCGGTCGGACCCGGTGTGAAGGCCCTGGCCCGGCGTGTGTCAGACCGACCGTCTGAGGGGTGTGCCAGGTCCGGTTTTCTGAAGGACCTGAGGTGTCAGGTCTGAGGGGTGTGTCATCATTTCTTTTTTTGCCAGCATCCTCCATGCCAGGTGTTCTTGAGAATCTAGAAGCTTCTTGAAGCTTCTTGGGCCCCTTTTTTGTAGGTCTCAAGAACGGTGACCTGGCAGGGAGGATGCTGGTGTTTAGGGGGTCAACGGTCAACGTCCAACAACTAGCATACGCTTCATTTTTGTGAAGGAATCATTTTGCAGCGAAGTTCAACACCTGTTTGGTCTTCAGAACACGGTCATCCGAACTCGAAGCAGTGCCGTCCACGCAGCCATGACTCTTCCAGCAAGTGCAGATGTTCTATCACTACATGGAGTGGGAGTAATCGAGGTTCCCTCACTATGTGGAATGTACCATCATGGGAGTTGACTTTCCATCACTAGGTGGAGTGTACTAGAGTACCCTCCCGAAACCTAAGATCCATCCAAGTGGGCCGAAGATGGTTCTACCTACCAGTGGGTTTTAGGTACCATGTTCGTCTTCAAGGGAGAGCAAAAATAAAGGTGGGGCTGAGAATCGATGGCGCCAGGGCCTGCAAGTTCGGTGGTTTAGTAGTGGATCCCTATCTATGTCAGACATCATGAGGTGCCATTTCTCAATCACCTCTCAGCACCTCCGAGGCCTTCGGTTCCTTCATCAACCCCCTTCATGGGGCAATCCAAGCATCGTGATCGAAAGCGGCATCGTTCAGATAGTCTCCAGCCTCATGCAGGCTGAAGCCAAGGCGAGGCCGGGACGTCCAAAGCAACGGTACCCCGCGGTTTGGGTCTTTGGAGCATCGCCATCCACGGACCCACGTTGGTGAGTCAGAATGCGCGGTTTGGCGCCCAAAACTTCTCAACATGAACCAACAATGGCTGAAACCATGCAATAGCAACATGCTACGATATGTTATGCTGTGATCATGTGGTCTCTTCTGACCCGTCAGTTTCGAGAACCACACTCCGCCTCCCTGCCACACCGAAACTCCACAAAGTTCACCCCATTCTGGTCCAGGGCTCTCCAGGTGGGTCCTTGAGAAACATGACTCATACCACCATGAAAAGGGGACACCTAGCTTGGGGGTGGTCGCTTCACCACGAATGACCACCGCTCCGGAATTTATCCGGGGATCCTTCCGGTCAAAAACCTGGGCAACCCAACCCGGGGCTGATCCAATCCACCACTGACCCTAGGGCTCCTGGCCCACCTCCGTTTCGAAGGTGGTTGGGGTGGGTGCCAGGGGGCTCTAACCACCGAACCTGAGGAGATGGGACAGGAGCCCTAGGGTAAACTATTCTATATACATGACATGGATGGTCTGGGACAGGGTGAGACTTAAGGCAACCGAACCCAGGGCTGATCCAATCCACTGATCTCTCTGAATCCATGCGAGCACCCGCCTTCGCCCGAAGCCGGCTGAGCCTCGCCCGCAGCGGGCGAGACAGCTGCGTCGGCAGCTCGGGGAGGCGACGCTCCACGCAGGAGGGTTCCAGCACCGTGCAGTGTCCGGCATCGAGGTCGAAGACCGAGCAGGGCTGACCTGTTGAAGAACAAAGGGACAGGCATGAACAAGCCCCAAAAGCGGAGCACAAGGACACACAAAAACCAACTGGGAACAGCTTAGTGTTGCTGGTCAGGGGCATGATTCATGTGATGTCCTGGTCGGTTTTTTGTTCCTGTTTCTCCCTTATTTGGCTCTTCTGATCTGAGGTAGACCTCGCCTGTGGGTGCCGCCACCAGCGCAGCTCGACCCAGCTCCACCTCGCGACGCATGCCCAGGAGCCACGGCTTGGGATCGTGAAGCTGCTGGTGATTGGCCAAGGGCGAGTAGCCGTGCCTCGGCGCCGACGGAGCACGGCCGATGTGAGGTCCGGGGATCCGAGATCTGAAGGAATCCAAGACCGGGCCGCCGATGTGCCGCAGGTCCAGGGCAAGCGAGAAAGAAGAAGCTGCCCTTCGTCCAGTTAGGCGGCGAGTGATGTGAGAGGTCGATCTCTTTGGCGGTGGCAGGGGAGGTCAGACAGAGATGGCAAGGGTGAGGTGGAGTTGACTAAATGGCTGCGGCACAACAAGGATAATTTACATACTTATAAGTTGGAGAAACCAGGGTCGGAACTTCCCTTGTTGCAGGATGCCGCAGGAGATGCCACAGCAGCAAGGCCATCCTCTGATAGAACACTCGGAAACCTTCTAAAGAGCCTATATAAGAAAACCACAGAACACCTTTCGTGCCCCTGCTCAGAACCGTGTACACTCCGACTCACTAACATGGGAAGTGGAACCCCCGGTTTCTGCAGAAAATTGCAATAGCCCTCGTCCAAGGTGTTCCTCGGCAGGTGAGTACCTTCGAAACAATATATTGTCATTAGAACCCTAGACGAGCTGCTGCCACTGAAGTGGGAAGAGCAGCACCCGCGCGAGCGCTTCGCAGCAAGCGGTCAAGATCAGTGAGGAAGAGGACCGGAGCAGGATGCGGCCTAAAGCCAGCGGAAGCGCACCACTGACTCATTGCTTGTACTGCGCACTTGCTTGTACGTATTATTATTAAAGTATATTAAAGTCAAGTTCAACTACTTACAATTTTGACTGACTGAGACTGAAACAAAGGAAATTCCTCAACGACGCAGGTCACCCAGTCAGACCATTCTTTGATATATAGTCTTGGACTTCTATAGGGTGCACATGACTTGATTCCGGTCGTGACATGATCCGAAATAGGTCGAACACTGCCGCTTCGCCGCTTCGCATTTGACGCCGAGGTTCCGGAAAAATCTGGGGAAACTCAATATGTATACGTGTCATGTCGTGTCATCGAGTCATCACATCACAACCAGCTTCTTCAGTTCGTGACCTTTGAAGGCTTTTTTCAGTGACCCTTGGAAGGCTTAAGTGACCTCAAATGAGGATATCAAGTACGGTCACTTTCGAGAACCAGGAATGTTTGAGCACCTTCGCAAACCCTTCGATTCATCACAAACTCAGTGCATCAGGCAGCCACTGACACCCCTGGTTCGGTCAGTTTTTGAGTCGAAGTGGAACAACCGCCCCTTCGGAATTCAATGCCTCATTCACCCCGACCCCCCCAAAAAAGTAATAACATTGACCTGGGATCATTTCCCAAGGGCTCCTCCAGTCGCACCTCCGAAACGAAGGTATGACTACCCTCCAAACGCATCCAAACGCACCCACCCCAGCTCCACTGGAGCCCTAGGGTTTGGATTATTGTGGGTGGAGAGTAGATGGCACAAGAGCCCCAAGTTTGGTGGCTTAATGTGGTTTATACTCCCCAGGGCTCGTGCCTTCTAAGATTCTAAGGTGGGTTTGGAGGATCCAAATACCTTCTGAGGAGGTACTTGGAGCCCTAGGCCCTAGGGTCTGTAATATGGACCCCTATATAGAAAGACCTCTTGGGTTGCTTTGTGCTCCAAGAGGTTGCTTTGTGCCATCGAAACTCTCAATCCACTGGGAGATGGATTGTGGGAGATCCTGGATCCCCCCAAGGCGGGTCCAACGAATAGGCGAGAGACGCTCCAGCAAGACCAAACGGCAAAGAAGCAGCACATCCTCGGCTTAAAGGAACCCCACATCCAAACACCCGCTGGTGTAATGAGGCGAGCCACTGACATCCGCAGTTTCCCTGAAAATGAAGGGTCTCCCTCAACACTGGGTCATGAAGTGGGATCTACATGGATACACTATTGATTTACCAAAAAGTTTGAAAGGTTACCCACTCACTAGGTACAAGTAGGCCTTTTGGGGCTTATAAAAAGAAGTAAATTTCATCCTATTCAGGTCCTGGTTCATTATTGGATTCAGGGCTGGGGACACTACATCAGCATTGCCACAGCCAGCATTTTTCCTCGCTGATAGCATTTAAAAGGGGCAAACCTTCCGGCCAGTGACTTCCAGCGAAAGCCGCTCGAAGAGCAGTCGCAGCGGCACATGCGGTGCGCTAAGGCCATGTTGACCCTGGCAAGGCCGTGCGTCGGCCACGCTGACATGAAAGTTCAGGGCATCTCACATGAGGCAAGGTGCGCGAAAGGACCGCACAGTACCTGCGGGCTTTGTTTTGGGAGGGATTCTGGCACCGTATGTCTCTGATCCACCACTGGGTCAGGCGTCTGCTACAGAGGCAGGGGCCGGTCCGTACGGTCGAGACGCCAAGCTTCTGCACAAGCACAGGACGCGCCCCTCACACGCACATCCAAGCTTTCCCTCATAGAGCCCAAAATTCAACTGGGTCATACAAAAGCACCATCCACAAGCAGGTAAAAGGTAAAATACTTTTGCTGATGATAGACCTGCCAATGTCTTCTCTTTGACAATATGTACCAGCAGAGGTTGAAGAACCCTATGGACTATCCCAGTTCGGTACCCCAGTCATTCGGGTCCTATCAGCGGTCACTGGCTACCTCTGGTCCCCATGAGATCCCTTCCACTTCTTGATCCGCTCTCTGCCACTTGTGATGACACCTCCCCAAAAGGCCTGTTGCGCCCCCCAAAGGATCCCAGTGACCGACTGTGACCATTCGCTCGACACCTGCGGCCGCAGCAGGCGCGCCGAAGTGTCAGCGACGTGCAAATGCAGCGCGGTGCCCTCCGGAGGCCGTGGCACTTCCCGCAGGAGCCAGGACCAAAGGCCACAAAGGCGCGAGAGGCGCGAGAGCCGCGACGCCGACGCCTGACGACGGCGCCAGGCGCCACGCGTGGCGTTGAGGAGGGAGGGAGTCGCGATGTGTGGGTGGGTTCAGGGTGGTGCTCCACCCTGATTGGAAGGGTTCGGAAGCCCCAAGGGCCTGAAACCCATCCATGGACATCCAGCGATTGGGTCAAGATTCAAAGACCTGGTAGGTCTCCGATGGTATCCAGGTGCTTCACATTGACAACCAGAAGTCCTGACAGGTATGTGGTGTTCCTGCACTCCACAACAAAGCCTACAAGTCAGTCTGACCTCATGAAATACTGGAGATGGTCATACAAAACTACTACTTACGGTAAAAGACCAGGTTTTACTGGGTCAAACTGGACTTGCAGGGAAAGGTTCAGTGACCTGAACTAGGACCCGAATGACTGGGGTACCTATCAGATAGTCACAGGTTCTTCAACCTCTGTTGGGAAGTGAGTTCGAGTCGTTTTGCTGACCAGGTCGGTGAAGACTCACTTCTAAGTCGCGCGGACCAAGTGGAACACGTCTCCAAACCAACTAGGAGGGTGCCCGTGGTAGCCAGGGGGTGGGGATGCGGTACGTCAGTGGTCTCCAAACAAGCTGGACTTGGGTGTGCATTAGAATGGGGAGATCTACCAACCGGCTAAAATTGTGATTTCACGTATGCCACTGGGACAACCACCTGCCAGGAGTCACAAGTACGGGGTGGTGTTTAGTCCCCTTACGTGAGTGGATGTTCTGGGCACCCCTAACCTCCATGGATCGCACCCCAAATTGTGACTGCTGGTGATTGATTCTGCTTGTAGGGGAAAATGATCTTCAACTTCCAGACTCAGATCTCTCAAACACCGGTCCACCACCAGGGCCTCGTCCGTTGGTCCGCGGCGAAGGGCGGCGTGAAGGCCCGCAAGGCCATGAAGGAAGTGCTGGCCTGGCGAAGTCCGAAGCCCAGTCAACGATTCAAAGGTCCCTAGGGCTCCTGTCGCACCTTCTAAGAACCAGCTAAGCCGTAACAACCCGCAAAAGTACATATTTTTGAAAAATGTTGATTTTTGCTTTTGGTATAAAATTTTTTTATCTTGAGTATGTATTGAGTAAAAGGGTAGGTATTGCGTAATTGCATAAATAACATTAACATAAATATAACTTGTTGGTCATAACATGCATTGCAGTATACTTGATTCATCATATACTGTTGGTCATATACTTGAATATCTCCGGGCAGGCTTGCTTGGAGGAGGCCATTGTCTACATGAGAGGCTCCAAGAATTTGATGGTGCCAGCCCGATGGAAGAACAACCTTCCCATATTGTATATAGATATAGAATGCGAGCGTGATTAACGTGATATAGGAGAAAATGGGTTGAGCATGTACTAGGTAACACGTGACCAGGAGAAATAGAAATTAAGACCCGGAGAAAATACTGACCCGGACTAGACCCGGAAAAAACCGGACTCTGAGCGGAGAAACCCGGAATATAACGATACCAACTGGACAACCTCTCCGCTGACTGAAGAAATGCTACATACCCAGCATATGATGGAAGAACTCTACTCTAGACTGCATTCCCAGGAAACATTGTTACTTCGTTTAAGTCCGATGGCTCCAGTCCCTCTGAACTGTCACTGCAGGTGCAGCCCGTGCTCTTGTTGCAGGTTGCACCCTCCAACTGTTAGGCTGCTTCCTTTACTGAGTACTCTAATTAATCTGTGCAAACTGCTGTGCAAACTGCTGTGCACTCATAAAATCCAAATTATCGATCGAAGTGTTATACCGTCTTCTATCCATGCACGGCAGAGCTATAGCTGGCAACTCCGACTCTGCCGGGTTTCACCGCGGACGGTTTCGAGTTCGACGGCGACGGACCGGAGAGTCGGGCCAGAGGTCGACTCGGGACTCGGTGGGATGCAGTTATGGTGGGTGCCAGGGGCGGGGTTAATCCGGAACCTGAGGAGGCACGACCGGAGCTCGGACTTGGGGCATACATACTCAAAAATAGATGCATTCTGAAGACTCAACATCGAGGGGTCACAAGTACGGGGTGGTGTTTAGTCGCATCCAGTGAGTGGATGTTCTGGGCACCCCGACTTCCTCCATGGATCCACCCCTTTGAAACTCTTGGATGTTCAATCATGTTCATACCAGGACCCTCCGACAGGCTATTTGGAGACCCTAACAGGTGGTTTCTTGTCACCAGGAAACACCTGTTGGAGGGTCCAGGTATGAATGTGTCTGTGTCTTTGTCGAATTCTGTCCATTCCCCCCACCCGGCTGAGGCGAACAAAGGCGCCCCAACTCGATGTTGTTTGCCATATGCTTGCCAATTGATTGGCCTCTAGTCCGAATCATCCAACCAAGTTCAACAAAGGCTGAAGAACCCTACACCCAAACGCTCCAAACAGGCCTTGGTCCCCAAAGCATCTCAAAACCATAGGGATTTGAGGATCCAAACCCCTCCACATGAGGATCCGACCCTCCATATGAGGGTGCATGAGCGCCTGGGCATATATCATATCCCACTCCAGGTTACTTGTCCCTTTTTCAGGTCACCCTCTTCCAGGTTCATGTTTGTTCGGTGGGTCATTGCTCCCGTTCCCGGTTGCCCACCGGGCAGCGCGGCGCCGAGCGCGGGTGAAAAGCGCGGAGCTCCAATCGCACCGTCCAAGGGGCTCAGAATCTCCGGGGCATCCGACCACAAGCACAAATAGCTCAATCCGCCTCAAGTCAATAGACACGTCTGATTCTCCGGCAGGCGGGTGCAAGCACTGGCCTTTTGGAAGGATGGGAGGCTGAAAATGGTTGAAGGAACATAAAGAAGAAACAAAAAATGTAATCGAACAAGAAGCTTGAAGGAGAGGAGTTGCGACAGGAACCCAAGCACAAGCCACCCTCACGGTCCAACCAGCACCCAGAAGGAGGTCAAACCCACAAGGAGATCGCAGCTCTCCAGCCAACGGTGTTTGTCTTGTTTCTCCTTGGAAGGGGTACTTGATGATGCACAAACACGACTAATGGTACTGCCATATATGCCAATCAATCGACCCCCAAAACCACCCTAATGTAGGCATATATGGCAGTCCCATGGAGTGTCTGGGATGGGCAAAGAACCTCATAGATTCGCTAGGGATAGCGCCAAAGGTCGGCTTTCACAATCAGTTGGGTTGACATCCAAGGTTTGCATCATGTGTTCATTTTTGGGGGTGCCCTAGTGCATCCCGCACAAGTTCCTTTAAAGAGATTCGTGCTGTTTGATCGCCTCCTCATCGAAGCCATCCAATCGGAATAGGTCAGAATCAGGCCATATGCCAAAACCCGATGGGCACCGATGAACTGATCCCATCTCATGGATAGCCGGGTCTACCGTTGACCCCGGCCCGGCCCGAGGCCCGGCCCGGCCCGGCCCGGCCCGTGCGAACTCCCTTCCCCGGCACAGCCGTCAGGAGGCCAGCTGACGCAGTGGGCAAAGGAAGAATCTATGCATCAAGATGTATCCACAAACATGTTAGAGGAGGGATCGGCAAAGTGTTTTTAGTCTGTGCGAATAAACCCCTTTCTACTGTTGTCGGTCTACGGAGCTGGAATGGGGGTTTAGTTTTGATTAAACCCTTTTTGGTCGATTGATATTCATACCCTTGGGTTTGGGGTTTGGATCAGGATGTAAACCCTTTGTGATCGAGTGAGGGCCCTTACTCGACCAAAAAGGGTTTAATCAAAACTAAACCCCAAGTACAGCTCCGTAGACCGACAATATTAGAAAAGGGTTTATTCGCACAGACTTAAAAACCAGCCGATCCATCCTCTATAAAGTGTTTGTGGGTACATCTTGATGCATAGATTCTTCCTTTGCCCACTGCGTCAGGTGGTCTCCTTACGCCACGCCGGGGCGGTGGATTTGAGGTGTGGTTTGGTGGAGGACCTACACAAATGGAAGGACCGCAGTGGACCGGCCCGGACCGACCCGCAGTGGCCCGGCCCGCGGTGGCCCGGCCCGCCCGGACCGGCCCAGACTATCCATGCATCTCTGGACCCGGTTGACGGAAAACCCCTGGTTTCCACCACTTTCCGAAGACCAACCCAGTGGATTATGGACGTCCAGGGTCCAGGACTCAATTGTCTACTCACTGCCCAGCAGGTCGTTCTTGGTCCTCGCCCCCATCGACCATCACCGTTCCATTCCACACACGTTCCACCCCATCCGGCCTGAAAGCTCTAAAGCCACTGCTGCCGCGTAGACGCGCGGCCACTCCTCCAAGACGCTGCAGAAACATCGCGTGGAGCGCTCGGCCGCGACTCCCGGCGCCGCGTCGGACGCCGTGCGCGTCGACGCCCGAAGGCCGAGGCCAAAGGCGCCGAAGCCTGGGCGGAGGTGAAGAAGTTCTGCGGTTCTGCAGTCACCGCGTACGGTCTCTGAGGAAAGAAACATATACAAAAACACGGTACAGTTCAACATCCAGCAAGAAAACAAAGGAGAACTTCTCAGTGGCTTCTCAAGAGCTTCACGACTCGTTGCGTCTCGACGCCCAAACGGCCGGCGGACCGGCGATCGGTCAGGCGCCTTTCCGAGGACCGAAGACCTCCGGCAATCTCTGCAGCGCCTGGAGCGGTTCGCACCGGAACCCGGGTCGCGACGGAGAAGGAATGGGTTTTAGGAGCAACTCCTTGAGGAAAAGGAACCAAAAGCCTATAGGCCCAGGCGGCCTAGAGCTTGAAAAACAGGTTCCAAGCAACCAGTTGTTGAAGCAAGCAATTGAGTTTCTTGGGTTTTCTTGTACTTTCACCCCTGCTCCCGGCCCAAATGGTGTCAACAGGCGGCAATTTTTTCCATCACATACAACCCAGTGGACCCCAGGCAAACCACTCTATAAGGAAGCAGGGGATTCGTTCGGTCGAACTGATTTGGTCGTCGAACTGGAACCACTGGGACTCCCAGCTTTGGCTATAGTGGTTTGCCTGGATGCCCTGGGCAAGCCACCCATCACCACCTGGTCACCTGGGTGGTGCTGGTGCTTCTCTCTCACACAACGCGACCGCACTGGGCCGATGACGCGACCTCCGTCACAGCCAACACCCATGCCGCCCAGCCAACAACCTCAAAGGACCAAGCTACATACTACTGTACACTGTATACTATACCGCATTTCTTTTATATGCATATTACCAATATATGCACCATATAATGATACCATATGCCGCCATATGCTATACTATATGCCACGATTCTATATATACATGGATATCACCTGTATACCTGCATGTAACCCCCATCCAAAGGCGCTATAAAACCGCATGCTTTAAAATGCAGGCAAGAAACACATCAACGCCCCAACAAGAAGACCACGCACGCTCTCCGTTGCGACTCTCTCTCTCTCTCTCTGCCTGGCGATCGGTGAGGGGCAGCGCCTCCTCCGAGGGCAGCGTGGCCAGCACCTCGCCACGGCTCAGCAGCGCCACGCCACGCAGCAACGCCATGGACCGCCGGTGCGGTCCGGGCAGGGACCAACGAGTCTGCCCAGTCAGGTGCTGTGGAGGTTGGGGATTTCAGCTGCCGGTGGCCATGGGTCGATTTTGGGGCGGCCCGGCGGCGGTTGGGGATGGATGAGCTGCTCAATGGAGATCTAAGAGATTCGAGATTGGGATTGATATTGAGCATCTGCCTTCCGGGAGTCCGCTTGAATTGTCCAGTCTCTCTTATATAGGCTATTGATGTTGTAAAGCTTGGGCGGGCACATGATCTGCAAACACAATTTCTTGCGAGCTGTAAATCTGTTCAATTGCTTCTTGAGCTCTGGTGCAGCTAGCTGGCTGTTGCTTGAACCGATCACCTGTGCAATGCTTGTCACTTCTTGAGGGAAGTATACTGCATGAGGCACGGGTTGCACGGGTGTGAAGCAGCTCATGACCACATGTAGCCTGTTAGCCTGTCGAGCAGGCCCTCCAGCCACTTGACCGGACCCAAACATCGTGATCACCTGCCCAAGGTCACAGTACGAGGCATCCTCCCTGCAACAAACATATTTTCCTCCACAAACAGGGGGTTGTCTACTTCCATTTTTGTTCCAGGGAGGGCACTTGTCGAGTTCAACTTCCATGCTGGCCTTCCGGAACCCTCGGATTCGTCGTCGAAGACAGAAGCACAGCTGGCCAGAAGCACAGCGTCTCATCATTCTCCAGTGATCTGAGAAATAGACTACTTAAAGGTTCAAGGCGTTTAGTATTTGGATGTGCTGCTTAGTGCTACTTAGGAAGTAGCCTATCTTGAGATATAACTTAGAATCAGTTCGATTAATGATTCGCAGATATTTTTAGGCTCAATGACCACCTTCCCAGGGACCTCGAACTGGAGTCCCTGTTTGCTGCCTGGATCATGGGGCCTGTTCATGACCGAACCCAGGCGGGGGAAATCAAGAGGTCCTTCGGAAGATGCAGGTAGGCACCAAGAGAGGTTAAGTGACCTGAACTAGGACCCGTCACTGGGGTACCGAACTGGGATAGCCGAAGAGTCGGGTTCTTCAACCTCTGTTGGCACATATTCCACGCATGGATTATCAGGGGAGTGGCTCCGATCTGAGAGTACTGCGAACCCACCCGACCGCGGTATCCCAATGGAAGCCTATAGGTAGTGTGGGGTAGTGCATTGGACACCCCTTGGGGGGTCCTGGTGAACAAGCTATACACAGGAAGACACAACCAAAGCGACGACTATATAAGTAACATGCATGTGTCACCAGAATCAGAAAGGAAGCACACCGAACAGAGTCTGTAAGTCCTTCCAAGCATTCAACCTGGCAGCCCACTCGCGCATGTTGGCCTCAGTCGGTGCAAGTTGGTCCCCCATAAGTGATTGGCTTCAAGCCTTGGCTTCACTTCACTGGGTGGGTATGGCTTCAGACCAGCACTGGCACGCCAGCTTTGGTCCCGAGATGTCTTCTTTCTTCAGAGGGGTTCCCGGTTCCTACAAAGCGCCTGATACGAGTAACACCCAAACAATCTCCATGTCTGGTGTATCGTTGTTTGAGTGTGCATGTGTTTTGGCTATGTATTTTTTGGCGGGTGCAAAAATCCTTGTGCTAGCACAGTGTCGTGCCGTTCATCCTCGAAGGCGACATTGCCCCAGACAGAACCCGAGCTCCACCCACCCCGATCGGCCCCACCGGTCGACCCACCAGGGCACCGTGGAAGCCGTCTCCTCGGGCACGCGTCCCAGGCAGTCATCGTAGAGACCGCCGTGGATGAACAAGGCGTCGCCCAAAATCACGGCGAGTTGCCTCGGTCCACGCGGGTGGAACAGCAGGGGAGCTTCAGTGAGCTTATCGGACCCTCCTCGGGGAAATATTGATGCCTGGCATAGATCTGTACAGATCAAACACCCCCGCTACTTGTGCGTTACTTTTGTTCATTGAACCTCCAGCATGCAGCTTCGACCAGTCAATGACCACCTACGTCACGCGGCCCTGGGCCACGTGCTGAGACCGGAACGCTGGGAGTGTTCGAAGCCAGTCATTTTTAGGACCTGTAACCCGGGGTACCATGGGATAGTTTGGGCCAATCCTACCAGGCACCAGTGGATGATGGTTAAAGGCGTTGTTCATCGACTGTTCAATGCAGGTGAGGTCAACGGCGATGAATGTGTTCGGGACCCCCCACGGCTGAGCCCGTCCCCCAAAGTATAAAATCCAGTCAGAAAGTCAATGAACAAAAGGAACCCATCTCGTTTTCTTCCCTGAACAATCGGTTCTTGGCCGGTCAATACAAAAACACCACCACAGCTCCCCTTAACTTCCACCCTCCAAAACCACCGCTTCCCGCTTCCCCCCTTTTCCGATGGTCACTTTGCCTTTCTTCATCTTTCTTCCCTCGCCGCACTTGGTCCATGCCCCATCCCCGCATGTTTGGCCCCACTGGTTTGAAAAAGGCACGTACTTCAAAAACCCTAGGGCTCCAAGGCTCCTGGCCCACCTCCGTTTCGAAGATGGGACAGGGGTGGGTGGTCGCCAGGGGGGTCAAAGACCACCGGTCACCTGAGGAGATGGGACAGGAGCCCCAACGGGAAAACCAGATACGTTGGGCCCCGAAACCCACCGCCTTCCGACCTTTCCTGGTGCCCGGTCCCCCGGTCCCCACCGCGCCGTTTGGTCCTCCCGTTCTTCCGTCACAGGCGCCCCACGCGTAGGAAATCCAACATCCAGCAGTCTGGATGTGAAGGGTCCACCGAGTCGCCTAAGGTTCGGCGGAGTGAGGTGCAGGTGTCCAAGAAGGGTGGGTCCGTGAGGATCCAAGAGAGGTCAAGTGACCAAAAAGACCTGGAGTCGACGGAACTCGTACCTCGGAAAATGGGTAGAAGTATATGCCTAGTTATTTTTTTTTAAATGGGGGTCATGTCACCCATTTTCATCATTTTCTAGGGTACTTTGGAGGGTCCAGGTAGGTGCAAAAAGGACCCGGAACAACCTGGGGGACCCATAGGATAGCCGAACTGTCGGGTTCTGAAAAACCTCTGTTGGATGGTGAGGAAGGGATCCGTGACTGGGTCCGTTTTGGAGGGGTGTTGGTGGTTTTGTCCGTTTGAGGCCGTTTAAAATCACCTTCTTGGCCACCCTAAAACACCAGCAGGCTGAGGGATTTTACATCCCTTTCAGGAGAATGGGTTCCTCATGTTCTTCAGCCCTAAGACCTAAGAATCCGGGCCTTCAAATTAGAAGGGCTTGGTTCGGGTCCGGACGTGCCAAGAGGTCACGATTGCGTTCTTTTCCTCACCTCAGGAGCTGTCCAAGGAGCGTCCGTCCAGTTCACACAAAGTGGTCTTGAAAGGTTGGATGTGGTTCTGCCGTCGGCGCCGCAGTTGGCCAAGACCACCGGCGTCCCCGCGGGAGCTCGCGAATACGGTCAAGTGACGGTAGCTGTCAACCACCTCAGTATCATTCAAACGGCGAACACCATGCGAACACCAACTGTGCAGCTGGAGTGCGTGACTCATCGGCATAGCCATCCACATGCACATGCGTGACTCATCACCCAACAAGAGTCACATGCACTTGGTTCGCTCACGAGAGCCGGATCGGGGCAAAAGAGGACATGCGCAAACTACAGCCACTGGGCGGTGAGTTTTAAGCACCAGCTGCATTCCAGCTGCACGCCATCGCCCACTGGCAAGTCTTCGGATACAAATGGAGCATCCAAATAGTTTGAACATGTTTGAACTACGTCTGGGGCCAACAACCTGAGCAATTCCGCCGAAAGCTGGTCTTCACTCTAGCTCCCGCGGTCGCCGTCACAAGCCTAGGAACCGCTTCATCGGTGGCTGGCAAGCCCAAGAGTGCCAGTTCATGCCTGGCCGGCAGCCCTCGACTTCGACGCCCAGTTTTCAGCCCCCGCCCCTCTGAGAGTCGAATTCCGAATCGAACAGTCCTCAACACCATAGTCCGTACTCACACCCAGGGCATCCAAACCACGATCTCGCTGGGAGTCCCAGTGGTTCCAAAGACTCCAGAGACCTAGAATCCCTGTTTCCTTATGTGGTAACTGGGATGCACTGGGACAAGGTATAAAGCTTCCAAGTCTTTGCAGAGGTACTGGTCGGTGGAGACATTTGAAATCGCCGTTGGGTTTCTACTCTTCCATCGTCCCACACACCGCCAATCATCGCCAATCAGCAAAAAACATAAGCTATAGATATATTAATGTTACAAAGCCCAATATACTTGATAAATCTTGATGTTGGATATCATGATCATCCTCATGGCCTGAAACCTCAGGAGCCCCAATCATCCGATCCATCACCAAAACGACCCGGTCACTCCGGCGGCCTCCGAGTGTTGAAGGTGGTCTGTTGACCTCAGAAGTGGAGCGAAGAAAAACCCTCCGAGCCGGAAGGAGAAGTGGAAACACGGTAACCCATGGTAACCCTATATACGTATGCCTTCACGATGATGCCACATGCCCTCCTGAAAAAGTGTGCGGATGCGCCACATGATCGAAAACCAAGAAGCAAACCTCTAGAGCTGAGGTGGAACCAAAGAGGTTCCCAGCTGGTTTCAGGACATTCGGTTGCTGGTTGGGATTCGCTCGTGGACGCTTCCTTGCCGGACGCAGCTTTTTGGTTCAGGCTGAGGCTCCCCGCAGCCCATGTTGCAGTCCAAGACCCATCGCACGGTGCTCACATGACCCCGTTCCAAGTGATGCCTCGGTTCTGACAAAAGGCCAAGGTGCGCCTTGCGCCATGCCACGAGAATAAGGATTTCACATTACAAAACCACGGTGTTGTTCATCAATCAAGGCCTCTCACTGTTCTCGTGATTGCAAGCCATACATGCAAGCAAGCCCACCTATTCCAAAGGGTAAACTCAAAGAAAGGCAAAGAAAACCAACTAAACTGGCTTTCTTTCAGTGCACATCTATCAGGTCCTGCCGACTCTGATGTCCCACACAACTCCTTCCTTGGCACCTCGATCCACGTTTCACGGCGACCCGCTTCCTTCGCTTTCACTCCCTCCGACCCGCGGCTCGCCCCGAATCGGTGTTCCGGTACTAGCCGTCTCCGCGGCGGAGACCCGGGAGATGCCTGGGCACCGAGGCACATCTGCAAATAGGTCTCATAATCGGGAGATGGCTTGGGATCCGGAATCCAATAGGCCTCGGCGTAGCTGCGGTCGTTTTTGGCTGCTCCGCTGAGCATCGTAATTCGTTGGTTTCGGTGTGTTTCGAGCTGCGCAACAGCGCCGGTGAGGACTCGTGGTTCGTCGTTAGTAGGTGGTGAGGAGAGGTGAAATGGACGGTCGACCAAAGGTTCGGAAGGAAGAGGGAGGCTGAACCAGAAAATGGTTCAGCTGACAGCTTGGCTATGCTTGGCTGACTGGTGCTTCATGGGATATGGAATATTGGAATGAGCTCCCAATACCAGCATCCTCCAACAGGTCTGCTTTAGAGGGTTCTTGGGCCCCAACAAAGATGAATGAGCTCCCAATAGAGATTCCGTTGAATTCATTCCATGAAAAGAATTCTTCCGCCTATCCACATCACATCCACGACTCGGGGATGGGGCCAAGGGGACTCAACACCACCACTTCCAACTTTTGGAGCTGACAGCCTTCCAACGGAGCTTGGGAGAGCGTCCAAGTGTGCTAGGACGCCCAGGGGCAACGAAGACGCAGCGATCCCGCATGGCATGCAGGAGTGGATCTGGAAGCAACATACATGGGCCCACTCAGAGCAAAGAACTCCGAGTGGAAAGCGCGAGAACGTCACGAGTTTCGACTCCAAACTCAGGAGTTTTTGCATCCAACACCGGCCCAGACTGGGCACCACATGGCGTCACCCCTCAATCCTCTTGTTCATGGGCTACTGAAGTAAGTCAGTGGCCCTCCCTGCGAGCTTTTTGGCATTGAAGCCCTGACCTGCTACAACCACTTCAGCTCTGTTCACCACCTTGGCCTTTCTGCACTGCCTCCCAACCTCCCAGCCTTCTCCGCCCAGGCGCTCCGCCACGTCGTTCGAAGCTGCCGCCGTCCTCGCCGGGCTGCAGCTCGGCGTAGAAGCGCAGCTTGCCTCGGAGCGGAGCTTCTCGGGCGCTCGCAGCTGCTTGGGAGTTGACACTGGATGACTCAGGGCTGAGATGGACTGAGCATCACCAGTTCGTGCGTAAACCGGCGACAGATTCTCAATGCGTTCTCGTCTCGGACATCCTCTGTCAGTGCCAGTAAAAGGACAGAAGTTGGCTTTAGCGGGACGTTGGAGCCAACTTAGTGCACTCATCTCGCTCCAACATGGCCTGCCACTTGCTCCTGAGAACGTAGTGGGGAAGGGTGCCAGGGGGGGGTCTAACATACAGTACTTTCTGAGGATGTGGGACATGAGCTGAATGATGCCCGTCTGACATGACAAACCTTTCGGCGATGCAAGAAAGTGGCAGGCATGTTTGCAAACCCTCGATCCTTACTACTGGAAAATGTGGCTACCATGTTCGTGCCTCCTACTTAGTTGGTGGGAATCGGTAGCAGCACCACCCAGGTATACCCAGGTCTAGACCCTCCTGACCATGTAATTTCCATCGGTGCTGGCAATTAATCACTCCAACACCTCAGCCTGGAATTGCCCCGGCCGCCGCCCCGGTGGCAGGGTGCAAATGTCCCGGTTGCCTAGGACGATGAAGACCTGGGCTCTGGGGGCGCTTTCACGCGGCGGGACTGCTCGATGGAGTTGGGTGTCCAAACCGTTCCATCCACTTACATGGGATGGGACTCACATAATCTATAGACCATTCCTTTGGGAACTGGTCATGCAAAACCGCTCCCGAAAACCGTTCGAAGAACAGAAGGTCATGGCCCAAGTAACCGGTCCCTGAACATCTTCATCTCCCCTATAGTCCTATGATGGGCTATCAACAGGGCTTATTTAATCCTTTTTTTGAACCCTAGTTCGACTATCCCTATACAGGCCTTTTCACTGGGTCCTGAATCTTTCACTTCACCTCACATCAGGCTACTATTTTCTCTATCAATCGAAGGTTTTTCAGAACCCGACTGTTCGACTATCCCACTACGGGACCAACAATTACGGGTCCTAGAGTCCTATATATCAGGTCACTTATATAACCTCTCTATGTCTAGCCACCATTTCATTACAGTACCCCCCACGAGTCCCGTAATATCACTCACATCAGTCTAGCCACCAAAAATCTCCCCTAGACTAGGCCCAACAACAACACCTTTTTGTTGGGACCCCAGGTCACTCAAGTCAGCTAACCTCTCTTCTATATTGTCATAATATCGGATATATAGGCTCCATGGTCAGTTAAGTCAGCTTTCCCTCTCTTCTCGCCTCTGTCTAGCCACTCGATCCCAATATCTTCTCTTCAACTCCAGCAGTGTCTTCACCACACGGATATCGCCGGAGCCTTTGTCCACGGCATCGCCTGGAAGCGTCGCGTGATGACGTTTTGTCGGGACGGCGGGACGAGAAGCGTCACGATCTGTTCCTCACATGGGCACGTGAGCAGCACTGGAAACCAAAGCTAGCTCATGACCTGGATGAAGGTGTGCCATTCCCCAAGCCTTTGAAGAGGTAAGTCTTAGGGGGAGGTTGATGCATCAAGAGTCATGACTCGACACCCTCGGCTTTCGCGCCGTCCGTCCGGGGTCCGTCCGCGAGTCCGTCCGCGGGCGCCTCCGAAGACCAGGTAACCGTGCTCGGCCAGCTGCAGTTCTCCAGGACCCCATAAGCCCCGATCCAAGCCCGACCAGCCCAGCACCTGACTCCAGGACACGAAGTGGACCTCAGTGTAGGTGGAAGGTGGCTGTGAAGCACTGGATGTTGCATACCAGCATACCTGGTTGTGATCCCAAGTGTAAGCGGATGTCCCCGACACCAGCACCACCATAGGCCCAAGTATGTCTCTTTAATCTTGCATTTGTGGTCCTATTCCCCATGCCGGGGTATTTGCCCAGTTAGTGAGACACAAAAGCAATCACCTGGCAACGGGCTGGCAATCAACAGGCCGCACCATCTAGTGCAGGCCACTTGTCCCTCTAAATGCATCTTGGACCTGGATGAGTGATGCAAAAACAACTCCCGCATATCATGGAGTACGCCTGAGAAGAGACCCAGATGGAACATCATGGAACCCGAAAACCACGTCGGGTTGTAAAGGAACATCGTCTTTTCACTTGTAAAGGTCATGCCATCAGGGTTTTCGTTTGGGTCTCTGCGAAGGACCTGTGACGTGACCTTCCTCTGTCCTGTTGCACCAATATATAAAATGATTATATAACGTCTGGATGCTCCTGGGACGAAATTGTCCGCCAGACTAGGCTTCACACAGAGGTTGAATAACAGAGGTTGCGGGGTTACCAGAAAGTGAATATCCCCACTGTTGAAGAGCGGTCGAACATTAGACCCTAGGTCTCTGAGTTGAAAAGAGTGTTCCAACAAAGGCTTTTCAGAACCCGACTGTTCGACTCTGGGCATGATGGTACGGGGATTAGGGGTATCCACGGGTCCAGTCACGACCTAACCTGTTGTTGTTCCGCGCGGAGTAACCACACCCTAGGGCTCCAAGGACCTTCTTAGAAGCTGTTTGGGGTGGGTTTAGAGGGTCCAAATACCTTCTAAGGAGGTACTTGGAGCCCTATAGGGACAGTATATACATAGACTGACCTGAATATGAGGCACCTGAAATCGGAACGGACCAGCGTGCGCGCGAGGAGCAAAGTATTCCCAGTTGCCCTCCACATCGGTGAGAAACTCCACCGTCCTGGCCAGCTCCACGTCGACTCCGCGGAGGCGCGGGCTTTTCGCGGTTTGTCGAGGCCAGTGGAAAGCGAGCACATCTTTCGGCATCTGAATTCATGATCGAAGCACTATAGCCCAGGTACTATATATGATGTCTATTTGCCATGTCATCTGTGGCCGTTGCTCGAACAAA